GTTCTCAGTGTTTATGCCAGAGTTTTTAAGGTTGGCTTTGAGCCCATCTTTCAATCTCTTTTCCTGTCCACCAACATTCCGTTTTCCATTCTTGAGTTCAGAGTAGAGCAACTCCTTTGGGAGACGGTGGTTAGGCATCCGGACAATGTGGCCTTCATTTTGCGCACTTAGCATCTTTTTGCTTTTTTGGCTTTGTAAGTCCTTTGCACTGTGTTTTTCAGTGTTTTTATGAGTGATGGTCACTCGTTGGCCTGATAGGTGTATTGTGTCCAAATTTCGTGTCAATTCATCCAGTGGTTTTTGAGTTTTGTGTGCCCCACAAACGAACATTACATTTATTTATTTATTTATTTATTTATTTATTTATATATATATACACTCTCCGCATCAACACTGACAAAGAAACAGCAAGAAATACTGTTTACTCACAAGCAGAAAGGAATTACATATATTAGAAACCAACACTTTCTCATTACATTATTTTCCAGATCACCAGACTGGGCCACAGCAACCAGACTGGGCCACAGCAATATATAATATAATTTAATACAAATACAATATCAAATATAAGGAACTAGCGGTCCCCTGCCACGCGTTGCTGTGGCCCAGTCTGGTGATTTGGAAAATAAAGTAATGAGAAAGTGTTGGTTTCTAATATATGTATTCCTTTATGCTTGTGAGTAAACAGTATTTCTTGTTGTTTCTTTGTCAGTGTTGATGTGGAGAGTGTCTGGTTTGCCTACTCTGGAATATGCAACATATCATAGTCCTTCTTTAAGGGTCTCTTTCAAATCTATGATACTATATCTGTGTGTGTGAGAGAGAATCATATCTATCTATCTATATCTATGACTGGATGGCTCTTTGTCAGGAGGGCTCTGATTACATTTTCTTGCCCTGGTGAAGAGAGTTGGACTGGATGGCCTTAAGTATTTTCTGTTGGTCATGGGGGTTCTGTGTGGGAAGTTTGCCCCATTTCTGTCGTTTGTGGGTTTCAGAATGCTCTTAATTGTAGTGAACTATAAATCCCAGTAACTACAAATCCCAAATGTCAAGGTCTATTTCCTCCAAACTCCATCTGTGTTCATATTTGGGCATATGGAATATTTGTGTCAAGTTTGGTCCAGATCCATCATTGTTTGAGTCCACAGTGCTCTTTGGATTTAGGTGTACTACAACTCCCAAACTCAAGGTCAATGTCCACCAAGCCTTTCCAGTTTTTTCTGTTGGTCATGGGAGCCCTGTTTGCTAAGTTTGGCCCAATTCCATCATTGGTGGAGTTCAGAACGCTCCTTGATTGTAGGTAAACTATAAATCCCAGCAACGAAAATTCCCAAATGACAAAATCAATTTTTTTGAGTGGAGGACATAAATCGGACTGTTAGGTGTCTTGTGTCCAAATTTGGCGTCTATTCCCCCAGTAGTTTTTGAGTTCTGATGATAGCACGAACTAACATTACATTTTTTTATATATAGATATGTGTGTATGTGTATAGGGGACCCCATGCAGAATCCAGATTAGCTGTCAAGTGGCAAAGCCCCTCAGTTAAGATTTCCCAGAGAGGACCTGCTCTCGGTCCCTCCACTTTCGCAGTCGCGTCTGGTGGGTACGAGAGGCAGGGCCTTCTCCATGGTGACCCCCCAGCTATGGAACTCTCTCCCGAATGAGGTCAGGTCTGCCCCCTCCCTCCTGTCCTTCAGGAAGCAAGTGAAATCTTAGCAGTGGAATCAAGCATTTTCAGAGTGACAACAGAGACCAGTAAAGACTACAGTTATTTTTTAAAAAAATCTTTATTAAATTTTAAATAAAAGCATATAAAGAAAGAGGCTTTTACATTAATATAAAGACTACAGTTATTGACCATAATGGGAGGACTGAGTTGGACGGTGTTGTCGTGAACTAGATGCCTTAAAGGAGCCGAACACAAAGAAAAGGTCCAAACAAGGTTTATTAGTACAACAAAAATAGCTTAGAAACACTTAACTCAATGCTTCTAGCAATAACTGAAAGTCTGTAGCAAACTGCTATGCAAAAAATAACTTAGCGGATAATCCGGATTATACTGGAATATAATCCGGGATAACAAAAAGTTCAAGCAAACTGCTTCTAAAACACAGAGTTCAATAAACACAAGGAAACAAGGTGAAAGCATGCAAAATCGTCGTCGAAAAACAGTCCCAAGTCGAAGCACGTCCAGAAGAAGATGGTTAAGTCCGAAACGCGATGTCGTCGTCCAAAAACAATCCGGAAGTCAAAGGAGTAGTAGAAGTTAGCACTTACGAGATTCCAGTCAGTAGAAGCACAGAAACACAGAAGTCTGCAGTCCCAGGACCCAAGCTCAAGAGTAATGGCAGCAACAAAGACCCAAGCATGAATACAACACTTTGCCTACTGCAAAGTCCCCAAAGTTTGATACCTACTTTTATTCTATAACTCATTATCGGGTGATGAACTGCTCTCCACCCTGTCTTCATCACTCTCAGGTGCCTTAGCTTCCATAGCTGCTCACCACTGCCAGTCTCTCCAACTTTTCCAGCGTCTATCAAGACTTAGATCACCCCACGTATTACAAGGTTGCCAGCCTCCAGAAAACCGTTCAAACTCATCACTAGATGTTGGTTGTGTACATATGTCTCTGATCTCTTGCACACGGGTCCAATCCAGCCCATCCACCTCTTCTTTATCACTCCCAGTGCCATCACTTCCCGTGAACCTCATAAAATCTTCCTCCTCAGTTGGAGCACTAAGTATTTCACGGATACGTTTCCTTTTCCGTTCTTCATCTGATTCTTGCTCCCGAGTAACCCGCTTCAAACCTTTGCCCCCATCTCCCTTCTCCTCCATTTCAGAATCTGAGAAACCTTCGAACGAATCAGTATCTGTAGGTGTCATGAATATCTCCCTAATTCGCTTCCTTTGCTGCTCCTGCTCCAACACCTGAGCAGCCCCTTTTCCCCTTCTACTACCCGTTGTAGCTTGACCAGCACACTCTACTGCAACAGATGTTTTTAACTTGGCGAATGGTTTTATATGTATTGTAATTGTATATGCATTTTAACAGATCACAGGAGCTGTCTTCATAGACCTGTCAGCAGCCTATGATACTGTGAGCCACCGCCTCCTCCTGAGAAAAATGTATAATATCACAAAGGATTACCACCTCACCCGCCTCATAGGAAACCCGCTACAAAACAGCCTTTTTTGTTGAGTTCCAGGGCCAGAGAAACAGATGGCGGAAACAGAAGAACGGCCTGCCTCAGGGGAGCGTGCTTGCTCCATCCATGTTCAACATCTACACAAATGACCAGCCACTGCCAGAAGGGACAGAGAGTTTCATCTATGCTGAAGATCGTGCCATCACCGCTCAAGCAGGGAGCTTTGAGATGGTAGAACAGAAGCTGTCTGATGCTCTAGGTGCTCTTACTGCCTATTACAGGGAAAACCAGCTGATCCCCAACCCATCCAAAACACAGACATGTGCCTTTCATCTCAAGAACAGAGAAGCATCCAGAGCTCTGAAGATCACCTGGGAAGGAATCCCACTGGAGCATTGCAGCGCACCCAAATACCTGGGAGTCACTCTGGACCGTGCTCTGACCTACAAGAAGCACTGCCTGAACATCAAGCAAAAAGTGGGCGCTAGAAACAAGATCATACGAAAGCTGACTGGCACAACCTGGGGATCACAACCAGACACAGTGAAGACATCTGCCCTTGCGCTGTGCTACTCTGCTGCTGAGTACGCATGCCCAGTGTGGAAGACATCTCACCACACTAAAACAGTGGATGTGGCTCTTAATGAGACATGCCGCATTATCACGGGTGTCTGCGCCCTACACCACTGGAGAAATTACACTGCTTAGCCAAGGTTATTTATTGTTGCATTGAATTCTTGCTGTTAGCCGTTCTAAGTCCCACCACGGAGGTGAGAAGAACAGGATACAAAAATCCTAAACAAATAAATAAATTTCAGAGAAATTTGAGATTGAGAAACCAAGCCAATATATCATGGGTCACATTGTAATGTTGTTTGAATCCCTTTACTGGGAGCACTAATGTTAGCTAGTGATTGAATCGTGTGTTTTTGTTTCTTACTTTTGGGTTAACTCTTTGTTGTAATTCTTCCCCTCCCCGCGGTGGCCTTCCTTTTGCAGGCGCTCTGGCCGCGTTCAGCACTGCCGCATCCATTCCCGGCAGGAAGCCGGAGCCACGAAATTCTACCTGACGGACAACCTGGTCTTCGACAGCCTCTACAGCCTCATCTGCCACTACCGGGAGGTGCCTCTGCGCTGCAACGAGTTCGAGATGCGGCTGACGGACCCGGTCCCACAACCCAACGCTCACGAGAGCAAAGAGTGAGGAGCCACATCTGTCCTCCCTCTCCTCTCCCCCCTTCTGCTTTTCTTTCCATGGAGGGTGTGCACATTGAATGTGAATGGGCTGAGAACTGTATAGAGCAGGCATGGTCCAATTTCAGCCCTCCCTCCAGCTGTTTTGGACTTCAACTTCCACAATCCCTAACAGCCTACCGGTCCAAAACACCTGAGGTTTGAAGTTTGCCCATGCCTGAAATATACTATTCTAAATGAAGCTCTCTTTCTCTCATTGGAGATTTTTGCAAAATGGCAGCTCTCTCTGCAAGCTCCTGCACAGCACAGGCCTAAAAATGTAACTGTTGCCAAAACTCCCAGGCTCAGCTAGTTCTCCAGGTGTTCCCCGACCAATCAGCTTTGTGTTTTGCATTTTCAGTTAGCACACTCACCAACTGATTTCTTACATAACAAAGGCTTCCACGACCGGAATCACTGGGGTGTTGTGCAGTTTCCATACTGTATGGCCAACATGTTCTAGCAGCATTTTCTCATGACGTTTCTCCTGCATCTGTGGCTACTGGTATCTTCAGAGGATCTGATGGTGGTAAAGCAAGTGGAGGATATATACCTGTAGAATGTCTGGGGTGGGATAAAGAACCAATTATCAACCAAGTGTGAAGGGTGCAATTAGCAAACCTGATTTGCAAGTGTTTGTGTGGGATCCATACAGTATTGAGAAACACCAGATTCAAGAAAGTAACTAATGAATGCCACCCAGACACAGGAGGTCTACAAGCAGTAAGCAATCAAGGGCGAGTGGAAACCACCCAAACAAAGGAAACTTCCAGGCAATAAACACTCCAAGGGAACAAAAACCTGGCTGGGTTGTTGTAGGCTTTTCCGGGCTATATGGCCATGTTCTAAAAGCATTCTCTCCTGACATTTTGCCTGCATCTATGGCAAGCATCCTGAGAGGTTGTGAGATCTACCTGGCTATTTCAAGGCAGTCGCCCTCATTATTGCCTCTGCAGTCTTCTCAGTTATTCACATGCTAATGAATGGATCCCACTCAAGTGCTTGCTAATTGCACCCTTCACAGCTTGGTTTTGTTTGTATGTGTCAGGAGCGACTTTAGAAACTGCAAGTTGCTTCTGGTGTGAGAGAATTGGTTGGCTGCAAGAACTTTGTTGTTGCCCAGGGGACACCCGGATGTTTTGATGTTTTACCATCCTTGTGGGAGCCTTATTTCATGTTGTCACACGGGGAGCTGGAGCTGACAGAGGGAACTCATCCATGCTGTCTCCGGGTTTAAATCTCTGACCTGTCAGTCTTCAACATATGGTTGGCTTGGTTGGAGCCCCCGGTGGCGCGATGGGTTAAATGTAACTGTTGCCAAAACTCCCAGGCTCAGCTAGCTCTGGGTGTGCCCGGAGATAGGCCGCAGGTTTGGATCTGGGGAGAGTGCGGATGAGCTCCCTCTGTCAGCTCCAGCTCATCCGCACTGTGGGGACATGAGAGAAGCCTCCCACAAGGATGGTAAAACATCAGAACATCCGAGCATCCCCAGGGCAACGTCTTTGCAGATGGCCAATTCTCTCACACCAGAAGCAACTTGCAGTTTCTCAAATCACTCCTGACACGGAAAAAACTTGGTTAATAGACATTGGTTCTTTCTACCACCCTGGACATTCCATAGGTATATATACTCCACTTGCTTTGCCACCATCATAACCTCTGAAGATGCCAGTCACAAATGCAGGTGAAATGTCAGGAGAAAATGCTGCTAGAACATGTTGGCCAGAGAACCGGAAACCCCACAACACCCCACTACAGGACTTCCGTGGCTCTCTTGACTCTCCGAGTCCCTTTCCAGGCCCAAATTTGCAAGGGGTCCAAGCTAACGGACTCTTCTTTCCCTGCCAGGTGGTACCATGCTAACCTGACCCGCCTGCAGGCCGAACACATGCTGATGCGTGTTCCCCGGGATGGAGCCTTCCTGGTGCGGAAGCGCAGCGAGCCCAACTCGTACGCCATCTCTTTCCGGTGAGTGTCTGCAGATGAATGGGTTTTATTGTTACAGTCACAGACCAAGAGTGTAAAACTTTAAAATGTTAAAAATATTAAAAATACTAGCCGTCGCCTGCCACGTGTTGCTGTGGCGCAGTTTGGTGATTTGGAAAATACAGTAATTAGAAAGTGTTGGTTTCTAATATATGTAATTTCTTTATGCTTGTGGTAAACACTATTTCTTGCTCTTTCTTTGTCAGTGTTGATGTCAAGAGTGTCTGGTTTGCCTACTCTGGATCATACAACATATCATTGCCCTTCTTTAGGGGTCCCTTTCAAATCTATCATACTATCTCTGTGTGTGTGTGTGAATCATATATATCTATCTATATCTATGGCTAGATGGCTCTTTGTCGGGAGGGCTTTGATTACGTTTTCTTGCCCTAGTGAAGGGAGTTGGACTGGGTGGCCTTAAGTATTTTCTGCTCGTCGTGGTGGTTCTGTGTGGGATGTTTGCCCCAATTCTGTTGTTGGTAGGGTTCAGGATGCTCTTTGACTGTAGGTGAACTATAAATCCCAGTAATTACAACTCCCAAATGTCAAGCTCTATTTCCCCCAACTCCATCTGTGTTCATATTTGGGCATATGGAAGATTTGTGCCAAGTTTGGTCCACATCCATCATTGTTTGAGTCCATAATGCTGTCTGGATGTAGGTGAACTACAACTCCCAAACTCAAGGTCAATGCTCACCAAATGCTTCTAGTGTTTTGTGTTGGTCATGGGAATCCTGTGTGCCATGTTTGGTTCAATTCCATCATGGTTGGAGTTCGGAATGCGTAGGTTCACTATGAATCCCAGCAACTACAACTCCCAAATGACAAAATCACCTTATTTTGAGTGATAATCACTCCTTGGGTTAGTAGGTGTACTGTGTCCAAATTTGGTGTCAATTCGCCCAGTGGTTTTTTAGTTATGTTAATCCCACAAACGAACATTACTTTTTTAGTTCTTGTGGGTTTTTTCGGGCTATATGGCCATGTTCTAGAGGCATCTAGAACATGGCCATATAGCCTCTAGAACATGGCCATATAGCCCGAAAAAACCCACAAGAACTGAGTGATTCCAGCCATGAAAGCCTTCGACATTACTTTTTTATTTATATACTAGCCATCCCCTGCCACGCGTTGCTGTGGCCCACATGGGGGTTCTGTGTGGGAGGTTTGGCCCATTTCTATCATTGGTGGGGTTCAGAATGCTCTGATTGTAGGTGAACTATAAATCCCAGCAACTACAACTCCCAAATGTCAGGCTTCTATTTTCCCCAAACTCCACCAGTGTTCACATTTGGGTATGTTGAGTATTTGTGTAGAGTTTGGTCCAGACCCATCATTGTTTGAGTCCACAGTGCTTTCTGGATGCAGGTGAACTACAACTCCAAAACTTGAGATCAATGCCCACCCAAACCCTTCCAGTATTTTCTGTTAGTCGTGGGAGAACTGTGTGCCAAATTTGGTTCAAGTCCATCATTGGTGGGGTTCAGGATGCTCTTTGATTGTAGGTGAACTATTTCCCAGCAACTACAACTCCCAAATGACAAAATGAATTTTTTGAGTGAAGGACATACATTGGGTTGTTAGGTGTCTTGTGTCCAAATTTGGTGTCAATTCCCCCAGTGGTTTTTGAGTTCTGTTAATCCCACAAACGAACATTACATTTTTATTTATATAGATAGATTGCCTCTCCTTGCTTATCTGTGTTGACACCCTTGTACATGACATCTGGACTGGTCACTGTTGCCCGGCCGGACATGATATGTACTGAGAGTTGTGGGAGTTGAAGTCCTAAGCACTTGGAGGGCCGAAGTTTGCCCATGCCTGATTCCAACAATTCCTTTCCTTGAACTCTGCAGGGCGGAAGGCAAGATCAAGCACTGCCGCATCCAGCAGGAGGGTCGTCTGTTCATGCTGGGCAGTTCGGCCGAATTTGAGAGCCTGGTGGACCTGGTCAGCTACTACGAGAAGCACCCCTTGTACCGCAAGATGAAGCTGCGCTACCCCATCAACGAGGAGGCGCTCGAGAAGATGGGCACCGCGGTGAGTGAGGAGGAACTTTGCAGTACATCGAGGGGATGTTGAATTGAGGCCATTGGGTGCGATCCTGCAAACTGTATGAAATCCTAGGAATGGAAGGAAGGAAGGAAGGAAGGGAAGGAGGAAAGAAAGAGAGAAGGAAGGAAGTTCTGTGACCAGTTCTGGGCACCACAATTCAAGAGAGATATTGACAAGCTGGAATGTGTCCAGAGGAGGGCGACTAAAATGATCAAGGGTCTGGAGAACAAGCCCTATGAGGAGCGGCTTAAGGTGCTGGGCATGTTTAGCCTGAAGAAGAGAAGGCTGAGAGGAGATATGATAGCCATGTATAAATATGTGAGAGGAAGCCACAGGGAGGAGGGAGCAAGCTTGTTTTCTGCTTCCCTGGAGACTAGGACAAGGAACAATGGCTTCAACTACAAGAAAAGAGATTCCATCTGAACATGAGGAAGAACTTCCTGACTGTGAGAGCCGTTCAGCAGTGGAACTCTCTGCCCCAGAGTGTGGTGGAGGCTCCTTCTTTGGAAGCTTTTAAACAGAGGCTGGATGGCCATCTGTCAGGGTGATTTGAATGCAATATTCCTGCTTACTTGGCAGGGGTTGGACTGGATGGCCCATGAGGTCTCTTCCAACTCTTTGATTCTATGATTTATTATTTATTTATTTATTTACTTTGCTTATATACCGCTGTATCTCAAGCCCGAAGGCGACTCACAGCGGTTCACAACAGTAGAAACAGTAGAAACAGCAGTGGTTCCATACAACATATAACAATTGACTTAACACATTATCCATAAATTACCAATAAGCAATTACAATGCACAATTATTACAAAAAACAACCGTACCCAATCTTCTCATCATCCAAGCGTAGTCCAGGTTCGTCGTCCATTGTTCCATTCCTATGTTCCATTACCAGATTGCACTAAATTACTCAAACGCCTGCACAAACATCCAGGTCTTCACCTTTTTGCGGAATACCATTAGAGATGGTGCTAGTCTAATGTCCGTAGGAAGGGCGTTCCACAGCCGAGGAGCCACCACCGAGAAGGCCCTATCTCTCGTCCCCTGCCAGCCGTGCCTGTGACACAGGCGGAATCGAGAGCAGGGCCTCCCCGGAAGATCTCAAAGTCCTCGTGGGCTCATAGGCCGAGAGGCGGTCAGTTAGGTATCTTGGGCCGGAACCGTTTAGGGCTTTAAAGGCCAACGCCAGCACTTTGAATTGAGCCCGGTAGCAGATCGGTAGCCAGTGGAGTTGGCGCAACAGGGGGGTTGTATGCTCCCTGCGCTCCGCTCCTGTTAGTATCATGGCTGCCGAGCGTTGGACTAGTTGGAGCTTCCGAGCTGTCTTCAAAGGCAACCCCACGTAGAGAGCGTTGCAGTAGTCTAAACGGGATGTAACCAGAGCGTGGACTACCGTGGCCAAGGCAGACTTCCCAAGGTACGGGCGCAGCTGGCGCACAAGCTTTAGCTGTGCAAATGCTCCCCTGGTCACCGCCGAAACCTGGGGTTCCAGGCTCAGCGATGAGTCCAGGGTCACACCCAAGCTGCGAACCTGCATCTTCAGGGGGAGTGCGGCCCCATCCAACACAGGCTGTAACCCTATGCCCTGTTCGGCCTTGCGACTGACCAGGAGTACCTCTGTCTTGTCTGGATTCAATTTCAATTTGTTCGGCCCCATCCAGACCGTCACAGCGGCCAAGCACCGGTTCAGGACCTCGACAGCCTCCTTAGTAGCAGGTGGAAAGGAGTGACAGAGTTGGCCATCATCCGCGTACAGATGACACCGTACCCGAAACTCCGGATGAGAAGCAGGAATATTGCAGTCAAATCACCCCTGACAGATGGCCATCCAGCCTCTGTTTAAAAGCTTCCAAAGAAGGAGCCTCCACCACACTCCGGGGCAGAGAGTTCCACTGCTGAACGGCTCTCACAGTCAGGAAGTTCTTCCTCATGTTCAGATGGAATCTCTTTTCTTGTAGTTTGAAGCCATTGTTCCATTGCGTCCTAGTCTCCAAGGAAGCAGAAAACAATCATTCTATGATTCTATGAAGGAAGGACGAAAGGGAGTAAGGGAAGGATGGTAGGAGAAAGAGGGAGAGAAGGAAGGAGAAAAGACCAAAGGAAAAGAAGGAAGGATGAAAGGGTGGAAGGGAAGGAAGAAGGAAAAAGAGAAGGAAGGAAGAAAGGAAGGAAGAAGGATGGAAGAAGGAAGGAAGGAAAGAGAGAAGGAAAGGAAGACAAAGAAGAAGGAAAAGGAAAGAAGGAAAGGGAGGAGGAAGGAAGGAAGGACGAAATGGTGGAAAGGAAAAATGGAAGGAAGGAAGGAGGAAGAAAAAAGAGAAGGAGGAAGGAAGGGAGAAGGAAGGAAGGAATAAATAAAAAGTGAAGGAAGGAAAGAAAAGGGAGGAAGGAGGGGGAAGAAAGAAAAAGGGAAGAAGGAAAAAGAAGAGAAGAAGGGGGAAGAGAAGGAATGGAGAGAGGAAGGGAAGGATGAAGGAAGAAGGATAAAGGAAAGAGAGAAGGAAGGAAGGAAGGAAGGAAGGAAAGAAAAGGAAGGAAGGAGAAGGGGGGAAGGGAGGAAGAGGAAGGAAGGATGAAAGGGTGGAAGGAAAGAATGAGGAAGAGGAAGGAGGAAGGAAAAGAAAAAAGGAAGGAGGAAGGAAGGAAGAAGAAGGAAAGAAGGATAAAGAAAGAGATAAGGAAAAATGCAAAAGGGAGGAAAGAGAAAGAGGGAGAGAGGGAAGAAAGGAAGGATGAAAGGTGGAAGGAAAGAGAGAAGAGGAAGGAGGAAGGAAAGAGAGAAGGAAGGAAGGATAAAAGGAGGAAGAAAGATGGAAGGCGAAGGGGGAGAGACAGAACAAAGAAAGCAAAGGGAAGAAGGATGGAAGGGAAGAAGGAGAGGAGAGGAAGGAAGAAGGGAGGAGGAAAGGTGGAAGAAGAAGGAGGAAAGAAGAGAGAAGGAAGGAAGGAAGGAGAAAGAGAGAGAGGGAGGAAAGAGGGAAGGATGAAAGGGTGGAAGGGAAGAATGGAGGAAGGAAGGAAGAAAAAGAAAAGGAAAGAAGGAGAAGGAAAGGGAAAGGAAGGAAAGAAGGATAAAGAACAAGAAAGGAGGAAAGCAAAGGAAGAAGGAGAAGAGGAGAGAGTGAAGGAAGGAAGGATGAAGGGAAGAGGAAGGAGGAAGAGACAAAGGGAAGAAAAGGAAAGAGAGAAGGAAGAGGGAAAGGAGGAAAGAAAGGAGAAGGAAGGAAGAGAGGGAAAGAGGAAAGAAAGGAAGGAAGGAGTGAAAGGGAGGAAGGAAGAAGAAGGAAGGAAGGAAAAGAAAGGAAGAAAAAGGAGGAAGGAAGGAAGGGAAGCAGAAAGGAAAGAGAGGAAGGAAGAAAAGGGAAGAGAAGGAAGGAGAGAGAAAGGGAGAAGGGAAGGAAGGAGGAAGAAGGAGGAAGGAGAAGGATGGAAGGAAGAAAGAAGGAAGAGGAAAAAAAGAGGGAAGGAAGAAAGAAAAGGGAAGGAAGGGAAAGAGGGGAGAGGGAAGGAAGGAAGGATGAAAGAGTGGAAGGGAAGAATGGAAGGGGAAGAAAGGAAGAAAGGAGGGAAGGAGGAAAAGAAAGGAGAGAAGGAAGGAGAAGACAAAAGGGAAGGGAGGGAGAGAGGAAAGAGGGAAGGAAGGAAAGACAAAAGGGAAGGAAGGAGAAAGAGGGAGAGAGGGAAGGAAGGAAGGACAAAAGTGTGGAAGGGAAGGCGAAAGAGGGAGGGAAGGAGGAAGGAAAGAGAGAAGGAAGAAAGGATAGGATGGTGTGAGAGAGGAAAGCCTGGGAAAAGAGCCCAAGGTTGACCCGTCTAGCTTTAAAAGTTACAGAAAACTATTGAAAGAACTTCCTTTCCATATAGGGAAGTGAGCTATCTGTTTGCCTGGTCTAGATCCTGGTTAATGTATTTAGATGGCATAGTCTCTGACCATTGAGCCAAGCTGTTATTATTTCAAGCATCGGAAGATGTGGTTAACAGGCCTCCCGTTTCCTCGCAGGAATTGGACTACGGCGCTTTGTACGAGGTGCGCACCCCTCACTTTTACGTGGAAGCCAACAAGATGCCAATGGCCAAGGTAAGTGGTTGTGACAGAACCAATCCTGAATCAACTACATTATTTGTTTTAGAAATGGATATCCCATCTCCCCATCTCTCCGCACGATCCATATTTGGTTTTTTAACATGATTGTGGGATCAGGAGTCTTGTGCTCCAAAACTCTGTCTGTCTGAATCCAGAAGTCCCAGAGTAGTTTGATGTGTTCATTCTCTGTAACTTTTTCCGGCTTGGAGTCCCACCAGTTCTTTGTCACAGGCAGATGGTGTTTGTGGCACAAGTTCCAATGAATCATCTGAGCAACGATGTTGTGCCTCTGCTTGTAGTCTGTCTGCTGATCTTCTTGCAGCAGCTGAGGATGGGATCTCTTGTTTCATCTGTTTCCTTGCAGAGTCTACACTTGGGATCTGTTGTCGACTTTTCAGTTCTGGCTTTGATGCCATTGGTTCTAATGGCTTGTTCTTCTTATTGTTATTGTTATTATTATTATTGTTGTTGTTGTTATTATTTGAAACACAACTAAATGAGTCCACAGCAGACAAGATCACTCTGCTGGTTGTTGTACTGGATCACACGTCGGACACTTCCCAAGTGTCTAGGACTGTGTGATGTATCGGCGAATAATGTGTGCAGATCCCAGATGGTAGTTTCAAATCACCTTGTCTCTCCTGAGGAACCTGTATAAGGACCAAGTAGCAACAGTAAGAATTGAGCATGGAACAACAGACTGGTTCAAGATTGGGAAAGGCGTGCGACAGGGTTGTATACTCTCCCCCAACCTATTCAACTTGTATGCAGAACACATCATGCGATGTGCAGGGCTTGACGAATGCAAGGCTGGGGTGAAAATTGCTGGAAGAAACATTAACAACCTTAGATATGCAGATGATACCACTCTGATGGCCGAAAGCGAGGAGGAGCTGAGGAGCCTTCTAATCAAGGTGAAAGAAGAAAGCGCAAAAGCCGGGTTGCAGCTAAACATCAAAAAAACCAAGATTATGGCAACAAGAATGATTGACAACTGGGAAATAGAGGGAGAAAATGTGGAGGCCGTGACAGGGTTTGTATTTCTAGGCGCAAAGATTACTGCAGATGCAGACTGTGGCCAGGAAATCAGAAGACGCTTCCTTCTTGGGAGGAGAGCAATGTCCAATCTCGATAAAATAGTAAAGAGTAGAGACATCAGACTGGCAACAAAGATCCACATAGTCAAAGCCATGGTATTCCCTGTAGTCACCTACGGATGTGAGAGCTGGACCTTAGGGAAGGCTGAGCGAAGGGAGAGAGGTGCTTTTGAGCTGTGGTGCTGGAGGAAAGTTCTGAGAGTGCCTTGGACTGCGAGAAGATCCAACCAGTCCATCCTCCAGGAAATAAGCCCGGCTGCTCATTGGAGGGAAGGAGACTAGAGACAAAGTTGAAGTCCTTTGGCCACATCATGAGGAGACAGCAAAGCCTAGAGAAGGGAATGATGCTGGGGAAAGTGGAAGGAAAAAGGAAGAGGGGCCGACCAAGGGCAAGATGGATGGATGGCATCCTTGAAGTGACTGGACTGACCTTGAAGGAGCTGGGGGTGGTGACGGCTGACAGGGAGCTCTGGCGTGGGCTGGTCCATGGGGTCACGAAGAGTCGGAGACGACTGAACGAATGAACAACAACAACAACATTGGGCAAAGTGAGATTTCAAAAATCTGCCCTTTCCTTTCTCTTTGCGCATGACAACATATTCCGTGCCCCACATTGTAAGGGCCGTGCAATCGACAATCTCTATGTTCTCCCTTCCTTCTCCATAAAATATGCATTCCAAATTCTTTGAAAAACCTTCATCCTCGAAGTGGAAGAAATTATGCTGAGCAAGCAAGATTTGGCGGTCTCAATCTACACGCACACAAAAGATACACATAAAGAGATCTTGTCGTACCTTTGAGACTTAACCGAGGAACGAGACATTTCTCGCAGAAGCTTTCAAGGGCTGGGAACTTTTTTCTTTCTCGGTTAGTCTCAAAGGTGTTATCGGATTCCTTTATGCCGTTTATTCTGAAACAGCGGCCTTTTATCTGCGCAGGGTTGTTCTTTTTTCAACACGCACATCGCTACGGTTCCCCTGGCCCCTTAATTTTGACAGTGTTATTTCGAGCGCAAACCTTACGGCAGCCTCTCTCCCCCTTTTCTCCGCAGTGCACCGTGAAGGCCTTGTACGACTACAAAGCCCAGCGGGAAGACGAGCTGTCCTTCTGCAAACAAGCCATTATTCACAACGTTGACAAGCAGGACGGAGGGTGGTAAGTCTTCCCGAATTTTGACGATGGCATATTCAAGGATGTCGCGGGATTTGGTGGCCGTGAAGTGATTTATAGTTTCCAATTCACAACCTCCCTGAATCGCTGCAAACTGGATAACAAGTGCCCCAGAGGCAAGAAAAATACAGCAAAGTCATTTCACAACACAATGCTCCTTGATTGTAGGTGAACTATAAATCCCAGCAAGTACAACTCATAGAATCATAGAATCAACGAGTTAGAAGAGACTTCATGGGCCATCCAGTCCAACCCCCTGCCAAGAAGCAGGAATATTGCATTCAAATCACCCCTGACAGATGGCCATCCAGCCTCTGTTTAAAAGCCTCCAAAGAAGGAGCCTCCACCACACTCCGGGGCAGAGAGTTCCACTGCTGAACAGCTCTCACAGTCAGGAAGTTCTTCCTCATGTTCAGATGGAATCTCCTCTCTTGTAGTTTGAAGCCATTGCTCCGCGTCCTAGTCTCCAGGGAAGCAGAAAACAAGCTTGCTCCCTCCTCCCTGTGACTTCCTCTCACATATTTATACATGGCTATCATATCTCCTCTCAGCCTTCTCTTCTTCAGGCTAAACATGCCCGCTCCTTAAGCCGCTCCTCATAGGGCTTGTTCTCCAGACCCTTGATCATTTTAGTCGCCCTCCTCTGGACACATTCCCGCTTGTCAATATCTCTCTTGAATTGTGGTGCCCAGAATTGGACACAATATTCCAGGTGTGGTCTAACCAAAGCAGAATAGAGGGGTAGCATTACTTCCTTAGATCTAGACACGATGCTCCTATTGATGCAGGCCAAAATCCCATTGGCTTTTTTTGCCGCCACATCACATTGTTGGCTCATGTTTAACTTGTTGTCCACGAGGACTCCAAGATCTTTTTCACACGTACTGCTCTCGAGCCAGGCGTCCCCCATTCTGTATCTTTGCATTTTATTTTTTCTGCCAAAGTGGAGTATCTTGCATTTGTCACTGTTGAACTTCATTTTGTTAGTTTTGGCCCATCTCTCTAATCTGTCAAGATCGTTTTGAATTCTGCTCCTGTCCTCTGGACTATTGGCTATCCCTCCCAATTTGGTGTCGTCTGCAAACTTGATGATCATGCCTTCTAGCCCTTCATCTAAGTCATTAATATGATAGCCATTTATACATGGCTATCATATCCCCTCTCATCCTTCTCTTCTTCAGGCTAAACATGCCCAGCTTCTTAAGCCGCTCCTCATAGGGCTTGTTCTCCAGACCCTTGATCATTTTAGTCACCCTCCTGTCCTCGTGTACAACAAGTTAAACATGAGCCAACAATGTGATGTGACGGCAAAAAAAGCCAATGGGATTTTGGCCTGCATCAAGAGGAGCCTAGTGTCTAGACCTAGCGAAGTCATACTCCCCATGCTCTATTCCGCTTTGGTTAGACCACACCTGGAATATTGTGTCCAGTTCTGGGCACCACAATTGAAGAGAGATATTGACAAGCTGGAATGTGTCCAGAGGAGGGCGACTAAAATGATCAAGGATCTGGAGAACAAGCCCTATGAAGAGCGGCTTAAAGAGTTGGGCATGTTTAGCCTGAAGAAGAGAAGGCTGAGAGGGGATATGATAGCCATGTATAAATATGTGAGAGGAAGCCACAGGGAGGAGGGAGCAAGCTTGTTTTCTGCTTCCCTGGAGACGAGGACGCAATGGAACAATGGCTTCAAACTACAAGAGAGGAGATTCCATCTGAACATGAGGAAGAACTTCCTGACTGTGAGAGCCGTTCAGCAGTGGAACTCTCTGCCCCGGAGTGTGGTGGAGGCTCCTTCTTTGGAAGCTTTTAAACAGAGGCTGGATGGGGTGCTTTGAATGCAGTATTCCTGCTTCTCGGCAGAAGGGGGTTGGACTGGATGGCCCATGAGGTCTCTTCCAACTCTTTGATTCTATGTATCATCAACTCACATAATGTCCTTTTATGAGAGATTTAAACTGGTCTTTCTTTTGTCCATGTGGATAAACCCCTTCAGCAGATCATGAAGCAAGAGCACACTCCAAACTGCCTCTTACTGCTTCTCTGCAAGAACCTGCATAGCTCAAGCCTGAAAAAAAATGTAACAGTATCCAAAAGTCCCAGGCTCAGCTAACTCTATGATTCTATTATTCTAATTTCAGTTTTCCTGCCTCCTTCCTGTTTACCTCTTGCAGGTGGCGTGGGGACTACGGGGGCAAGAAGCAGCTCTGGTTTCCTGCCAACTACGTCGAGGAGATCATGAACGCCTCTGGAGCCGAGCAGGACGAAGCGGTGAGTGCAAAACCTTTCCCCCGCCATTCCCTCCTCTGCCAACTGCAGGTGAGCCAGGTGGGACCAGAAGGAGGACAAGCAAGAAGGTATTCTGTATTCTATTTTGGATTTTACCTCTGAACCTTCCCCCTAACAGTTTCTACCCTGCCCCTTTTTCTCTGCCTGTCTCTTTCAGTCTGTAGAGAACAGTCCGCTGGGCAACTTCCTGAAAGGCTTCATTGATGTCCCTTCCTGCCATGTAGGTGAGTGTCTGAAGAAGGTAGCATTACCTTCACATCCTGCAGTTAAAGCTAGATCATAGCATTAAAACTGTGTTGAATAATAATAATAATAATAATAATAATAATAATAATAATTGCAAAGACTCTGGCACAAGCCAGTCAAGGTGGTCCCAGTGGTGATCGGCACACTGGGTGCAGTGCCTTAAGTCCTTGGCCTGCACTTAAACACAATCGGCACTGACAAGATTACCATCTGACAGCTGCAAAAGCCCACCTTACTGGGATCTGCAGGCATTATTCGCCGATACATCACACAGTCCTAGACACTTGGGAAGTGTCCAACGTGTGATCCAATACAACAGTCAGCTGAGTGTCTGCTGTGGACGCATCTTGTTGTGTTTCAAATAACAATCATAATAATCTATATAAATAAAAATGTAATGTTCGTTTGTGGGATTAACAGAACTCAAAAACCACTGGACGAATTGATACCAAATTTGGACACAAGACACCTACCAACCCAATGTATGTCCTTCACTCAAAAAAAAAATGATTTTGTCATTTGGGAGTTGTAGTTTCTGGGATTTATAGTTCACCTACAATCACAGAGCATTCTGAACCCCACCAACGATGGAATTAAACCAATTTGGCACACTGTTCTCCCATAACCGACAGAAAATACTGGAAGTGTTTGGTGGGCAGTGTCCTTTGGTTTTGGAGTTGTAGTTCACCTACACCCAGAGATCACTGTGGACTCAAACAATGATGGATCTGGACCAAACTCTACACGAATACTCAATATGCCCAAATGGGAATACTGGTGGAGTTTGGGGAAAATAGAATCTTGACATTTGGGAGTTGTAGTTGCTGGGATTTATAGTTCACCTAAAATCAAAGAACATTCTGAACCCCACCAACGACGGAATTGAACCAAACTTGGCACACAGTTCTCCCATAACCGACAGAAAATACTGGAAGTGTTTGGTGGGCAGTGTCCTTTGGTTTTGGAGTTGTAGTTCATCTACATCCACAGATCACTGTGGACTCAAACAATGATGGATATGGACCAAATTCTACACGAATACTCAATATGCCCAAATGTGAATACTGGTGGAGTTTGGGGAAAATAGAATCTTGACATTTGGGAGTTGTAGTTGCTGGGATTTATAGTTCACCAACAATCAAAGAGCATTCCGAACCCCACCAACGATAGAATTGGGCCAAACCTCCCAGACAGAACCTCCATGTGAGCCACAGCAACATGTGGCAGGGGACGGCTAGTAATAATAATAATAATAATAATAATAATAACAATATATCTATATAAATAAAAATGTAATGTTCATTTGTGGGATTAACAGAACTCAAAAACCACTGGACGAATTGACACCAAATTTGGACACAAGACACCTAACAACCCAATGTATGTCCTTCACTCATAAAAACACTGAAAAACACAGCAGAAGGGACTTAAAAAGCCCCAAAAAGCTAAATGACAAAAAGCTAAATGACAATACAGAAAAAAGGGAAGAAAGAGGGAGGGAAGGGGAGAAAGAAAGAAAGAAAGATGGAGGAAAGAAAGAAAGAAGGAAAGGGAGAAGGAAGCATGAAGCAAAGAGAAGGAAGGAAAGAGGTAGAGAAGGAAGAAGGGAAGAAAGAAGGAAGGGAAAGAAAAGAGGGAAGGAAGGAAAGAGAGAGGAAGAAGGAAGGAGAGAAGGAAAGGAAAAGAAGGAGAGAAAGAAAAAGGAGAGAAAGAGGGAGGGAAAGAAAAGGGGAAGGAGAGAGAGAAGGAAGGAAGGAGAGAAGAAAGAAAGAAGAGAAAGAAGGAAGAGAAAGAGGGAGGAAAAGAAAAGGGGAGGAAGGAAAGTAGAAGGAAGGAAGGAAGGAGAGAAGGAAAGAAAAAAGGAAAAGAAGAAAGGAAAGAGGGAGCAAAGGAAGGGGGGAAGATGTAGAGAAAGAGGGAGTGAAGGAAAGAGAAGAAAGAAAAGAGAGACAGCAGAAGAGGAAGAAAAAGGGGGAAGGAAGGAAAGAGATAGAGAAGGAAGGAAGAAGAGAGGGAAAGATGGGAAAGCAGGAAGGAAAGAGGGAGTGAAGGAAGGAGGGAAAGAAGGAGAGAAAGAGGGAAGGTTGGCCACAGCAACGCGTGGCAGGCACAGCTAGTAATAATAATAATACTTTATTTATACCCTGCCACCATCTCCCCGATGGGGACTCAGGCGGCTAACATGGGGCCAAGCCCGAACAATCAAATCAAATCAAATACATACAACAAATAATAACATCAAATGAAAAGTGAACAAACAAATTAATACAAAATCAAAATACAGGAAACAAATAGGCCAAGTTAAAAAGGGGTAGAATAAAATATAATATATTGCACCCTGGGTGCAATGAATGAGTAGGGTAGAGCCTGTTGGGGGTTTCAGAAGGGAACAAGCAATGAGGTGAGTATCACCAGAGGATGAGATAAAGTGCATTGCCAGGCATACTTTGCTAAGCTGGTCCTGATGTGGACCACCGTTGTCAAATCGGACTTCATGATTCTGCCTAAATACCCTAAACTAGGCACCAGATCCCATCTCATCTTGGGAGCTAAGCAGGGCCAGCCCTGATTATAATTACTTGGATGTTAGACCATCCACAAAGACCAGGTTTTGTAGGATTTGCGTAAGAAAACCCTATGAAATTCATGATGGAATCACCATAAGTCCAAAGGTGGCTTGAAGGCATCTATGCATCCATGTACACACCACAAAAGGTCCAGGATCCTTGTCAATAGTTGTATATACTCACACAGGATCCTCAATGCTTCCTCTCCCTTCCCGACCCATAACCCGGAGGGCGGGAATAAGCCCGCCTCCTGCTTGCTCCTCGGAGGAATCCTGCAATGGGAGCCTTTTCCAGTAAAGCCGCTCCTCTGGTGTCCTTGTAGTTATCTCCAAAGACGGGAGGAGCTCCAAACCATTTGTCTTCACCATCCATTCCCAGCAGATGACCCACCCGTCCCAGTCGCTGGACGTCGCCACCGACACCCAGGAGGAGCTCAACGACTGGGTGGCCAAGATCCGAGAGGCCACTCAGAATGCAGACGCCCGGGTGAGTCCCCGGAACAGTGTTGGGATGGGTTGTTGTAGGTTTTTCGGACTGTATGGCCATGTTCTGGAAGCTGTGATGGACTTGGGCGTGTGAGCAATTGCTTGAGAAGGCTTCTTAATATTTTGCAAGCCAAGTCAGTGCTCAGATTGTACTTAAGAGGGACCAAATTTGTGTTTTTGAGTTTTGCAAGACGTCTTTCTGGTCAACTTAGAATCATAGAATCATAGAATCAAAGAGTTGGAAGAGACCTCATGGGCCACCCAGTCCAACCCCATTCTGCCAAGAAGCAGGAATATTGCATTCAAATCACCCCTGACAGATGGCCATCCAGCCTCTGTTTAAAAGCTTCCAAAGAAGGAGCCTCCACCACACTCCGGGGCAGAGAGTTCCACTGCTGAAAGGCTCTCACAGTCAGGAAGTTCTTCCTAATGTTCAGGAATCTCCTCTCTTGTAGTTTGAAGCCATTGTTCCGCGTCCTAGTCTCCAGGAAGCAGAAAACAAGCTTGCTCCCTCCTCCCTGTGGCTTCCTCTCACATATTTATACATGGCTATCATATCTCCTCTCAGCCTTCTCTTCTTCAGGTCAAACATGCCCAGCTCTTTAAGCCACTCCTCATAGGGCTTGTTCTCCAGACCCTTGATCATTTTGAGTCGCCCTCCTCTGGACACATTCCAGCTTGTCAATATCTCTCTTGCATTGTGGTGCCCAGAATTGGACACAATATTCCAGATGTGGTCTAACCAAAGCAGAATAGAGGGGTAGCATTACTTCCTTAGATCTAGACACTATGCTCCAACTTGTCTCTAGTCAACTTCCTCCAGTCATATTGGAGACTCTACATCAGGCATGGGCAAACTTCAGTCCTCCCTTCAGGTGTTTTGAACCAACTCTCACAGTTCCTAACAGCCGACTGTTAGGAATTGTGGGAGTTGAAGTCCAAAACACCTGGAGGGAAGGCCTGTTGCACTCCAGGACAGGAATAACCCTCTGACTTTAAAACAGCACATGTTGAATACGGATAAAACAATCCTTTTGTTGAATATAAGTAAAAGCAACAAAGTAAAAAAACACTTTAAAAGAATAGGTAAATCCAGTTAGGAAAGAAGATAAGCAGGAACAAATTAGTCCAAAGTCATCAAAGCCCAAAAACGAAGTCCACACTTCTCTAAGAAAAATTCAAAGAGCCAAGGCATGAGCATGTAATCACAAGAGACAAAGAGTCAAACCATGAAACAAGAAATCCTTAAACATGAATCTTCCAAGCAGAACTTCCATGAGACAAGAACAAGAACTTATAAATGATGCTTCATCTGATTATATTTCCCATGCTCATTCCCTCGTTAAGCCATTCCCAGCACTCAGGAATTGGTTTTGCTTTCCCTGAGGGCCCCTTATCTTTTTCTGTCGGAGCCTGGCAGAACGCCAAAGGCCTTGGTTGAGCTGTCTGTTTTGGCTAATTTCCATCCGCCTGTCTATATGCTCATTAGTTTCTGCAGGTGCCAATTTGTTTTCAAGCCCCAAATCCTGGGAACTCTCCGGGCGCAATTCAGGGAGTAAACCATCATCCCTATACCCTTTAGGAACATTCTCATGGGAAACTACACTTTGAACAGGTGTCTCTATGTCATTCTCTGCATCAATATCAATGACTAAACCATTGCTATCTTAAACCTCATTGACATCATTCCCCACATCCAAAGCACCCTGATCCTGAAACACAATCACAGGCTGAACTCCAACAAGGTCAAAGTTTGCCCATGCCTGGACCAGATGCTCTCAGGTTTCCCCTTGACCTTTGCCTTTGTGTTCCCCATATAGATGCAAGAAGGAAAGATCATGGAGCGCAGGAAGAAGATTGCTTTGGAACTGTCAGAACTGGTCGTTTACTGCCGCCCGGTGCCCTTTGATGAGGAAAGTAAGTCCACACATATGCAATTATATCGTGAAAATATCATTGCAGATTTGGCAAATGTGGATTTAATTTAGGTACCATTTTATGTGGGGAGGCTAATTTAACTAATTTATGATGCCATAAAAATCACCAGCAGTGTGCAAAAGAATGAGGAAGTACTCTATCGGTGTCACAAGTGGACGGTGAAGCAACAGCTCCCCCATGGCTGGAATTTGAGCATACCCTCACGAAGCTGGAATGTTAAATAACCTCTGTGTGTCAGTCTATAAATGTGTGTCTATAGCATTGAGTGTTTGCCATGTATATGTGCATTGTAATCTGCCCTGAGTCCCCTGCTGGGTGAGAAGGGCAGAATATAAATACTGTAAATTTAAATAGTCTGTTGCAACTCAGAGTAAGCTTCACCTTGCTTCCAAACACCACCACACAAGAGCTGTAGTTTTATAGTTTATTGAGGAAAAAATCCAAGTCAAAATAAAGAATCAGCATTGCAAAGTTCCAAAGATTAAGGTTAAATGCAGAATATAGTTCCAAAGATCTTCAGGTAAAAGCAGGAGACAATCCTATTGGCAAAGTTCAAACCAGAGTCCCGGGTACAAGCAATGAAACAATTGCCTCATGAATCACAATGCAAGAAATCCCAAGGGTACTGCTTTCCAGGCTAAAATTATTCCATGAAGCTTTCAGACTAATAAGCTACATTGAACTGACACTTTCCCTTGGTTTGCAAGAAGCCTAAATACCTTTCTAACATGAAAACATTACATGAAATCATTGCGATGACCTTTCACTGAGCTGGCCTCTCGTCTGCCGGCCAGGCGAGAACTCCGTCTGACCCAGAGATCAAGACAAGCTTGCCGGGTCAGGTCACTGTCAAGGCTTTCCGTACTTTCAGTATCAGCGTGGGAAGGAGGCAAATGCCTCTCCACCTGTTTGCTATTTCCTTCGTTAAAATTCCTTTCTCTTGGGAACCGCTGTGTTGATGTTGACTTTGCACTGTCTGTGCTGTCTGTGGGAGCAGCAGGCCCAGAGATCTGAGGCACAGAAAAAGAGCCAGGAATCTGAATCCCATCATCCTCATCATCACAGAACATCTCAGCCACAACATAGTCCAAAATTTACAACAGACTGTTAAGTAGGACAATCTGGTGTAATCAAGGCTGAGAAAAGATCTGGAGTCATAACAATTGAAATGCAATAAGAACTAAGTATTGTTGAAGCCTTTCATGGCCAGAATCACTGGAGAGTTGTATGGTTTCCAGGCTGTATGGCCTATGTGTTGTAGTAGCATTTTCTCCTGATGTTTCGCCTACATCTGTGACTAATAGCATCTTCAGAGGATCCAGCCACAGATGCAAGCTACACATCAGAAGAAAATGCTTCTAGAACACAGCCATATAGCCCGGAAATCACACAACACTCCAATGTAAACAATGTAGGTAGGGGCTGAGAGGGAGGGGGCATTTGATACCTGAGGGGATAAAGCTCAGAAGTCACTTTCTTTCCAATCTGTAATGATCAGGAATAAAGGAATCTGTTTCAAGCCTTGGCTGGAAGTGGATTTTGTCCTAAGGAATCTGAACTTCAGGACAGTTCCTTGTCCTCAGACTTACAATATAATTAATGTTAGATAGAAATAGCAAAGCATTTCTAATCATAGAATAAAATACTGTTTAATGAACATGTGGTATATTAATAGCACCTGGGTATGACTCTGAATGCCATGATGCAATACCTAATGAGATGTGGTAATGGTTGAGTCATAACCATGTGAGGGTTGTTGCAAAGGGTTATTACTGATGACCTATGAGCATATGGCTATACGAGGAGGGAGAAAAAAAATCCAGCTTTCTCTCTCCTGTGTGACTCAGTGTGAGTATCTGCCTATGTTGTATGTGACTATTTGATGACTCTGATTGTTTGCAAGTACAAAGAATGAAGATCTGCAAATCCTGATTGTATTTTTGTGTTGGGGTTCAGCCTGTGATTGTGTTTCAGGATCAGGGTGCTTTGGATGTGGGACGTGATGCCAATGAATTTCAAGATGGCAATGGTTTGGTCAATGATACTGGTGCAGAGAAGGACCAGGTAACCCCTGTGCCAAGTGTAGTTTCCCATGAGAATGTCCCTGAAGGGAGTGCAACAGATAGTATACTCCCTGAATTGTTACCAGAGGGTTCCCAGGATTTGGGGCTTGAAAACAACTTGGCACATGGCCCAGCTGTGAGACTTAATGAGCAAATAGATAGGCGAGAGGAAATTAGTCAAAACAGACATGCCGAACAATGCCTTTGGCGGTCTGCCAGGCTTCGACAGCAAAAGATAAGGGGATCTCAAGTAAAATGAAACCAATTCCTGAGTGTGTGGAATAGCTTAACGAGGGGATAAAAGTTCCATGTATGGGAAATATAGTCAGATGAAGCATCGTTGGAATCAAGTATAGTTCTCGTCCTTTGTTTCATGGAAGCTTCGCTTGGAAGATTCTTGTTTAAGCATTTCTTGTTCATGGTTTAGACTCTTGGGAGTGTATGGATGCCTACTCATACTTTGGATTAATGTTTCTGTTGTATTGTCGAAGGCTTTCATGGCCAGAATCACTGGGTTGTTGTAGGTTTTTTCGGGCTATATGGCCATGTTCTAGAGGCATTCTCTCCTGACGTTTCACCTGCATCTATGGCAAGCATCCTCGGAGGTAGTGAGGTTCACTACCTCCGAGGATGCTTGCCATAGATGCAGGCAAAACATCAGGAGAGAATGCCTCTAGAACATGGACATGTAGCCTGAAAAAACCTACAACAACCCAATGTTTCTGTTTTCCTGAATTATATTTGGGAAGTGTGGACCTTGTTTTATGGACTTTGCTGAACTTTACCCTGGATTATTTTTGCTCCGGCTTATCTTCTTACCTAATTGGATTTACCTATTTCTTTTAAGTGCTTTTTACTTGCTGCTTTCTAATTATCTTCAATAAAAGGATTGTTTTCCATTCAACGGTGTGGTGTTTGAAAATCAGAGGGCTTTTGCTCCTGCTTATCTTCTTACCTAATTGGATTTACCTATTTCTTTTAAGTGTTTTTTACTTGCTGCTTTCTAATTATCTTCAATAAAAGGATTGTTTTCCATTCAACGGTGTGGTGTTTGAAAATCAGAGGGCTTTTGTTCCTGCTTATCTTCTTACCTAATTGGATGTACCTATTTCTTTTAAGTGCTTTTTTACTTACTGCTTTCTACTTATCTTCAATAAACAGATTGTTTTCTATTCAGCGATGTGATGTTTTAAAATCAGAGGGCTTTTCCAGTCCTGGAGTGCAACCATTTGTATATATTGCTACGGTGAAGATTAAAGCCTCCAGTTATTTTGGATGAAAACCTGTAGATGCTAGCAGTTGGACTGCTGATAGATGGGCTGAAGCATGTTTGTGTTGTGAAAGGACTCTGCTGTATTTTGCTCGCTTCTGGGACACTTACTATCCAGTTTGCAGCAATTCAGGGAGGTTGTGACTTGGAAACTATAAATCACTTCACATACCAGCACATTCCACAATAATTAGACCCTTGATCATTATGTCGCCCTCCTCTGGACACATTCCAGCTTGTCAATATCTCTCTTGTCCAATTCTGGGCACCACAATTCAAGAGAGATATTGACAAGCTGGAATGTGTCCAGAGGAGGGCGACTAAAATGATCAAGGGTCTGGAGAACAAGCCCTATGAGGAGCGGCTTAAGGAGCTGGGCATGTTTAGCCTGAAGAAGAGAAGGCTGAGAGGAGACATGATAGCCATGTATAAATATGTGAGAGGAAGCCACAGGGAGGAGGGAGCAAGCTTGTTTTCTGTTTCCTTGGAGACTAGGACGTGGAATAATGGCTTCAAACTACAAGAGAGGAGATTACACCTGAACATGAGGAAGAACTTCCTGAGTGTGAGAGCCGTTCAGCAGTGGAACTCTCTGCCCCGGAGTGTGGTGGAGGCTCCTTCTTTGGAAGCTTTTAAACAGAGGCTGGATGGCCATCTGTCAGGGGTGATTTGAATGCAGTATTCCTGCTTCTTGGCGGGGGTTGGACTGGATGGCCCGTGAGGTCTCTTCCAACTCTTTGATTCTATGATTCTAATTAAAACCTGATGCAAAAAAGAGGAAATTCTGGTATGGGAAGGGATTAAGTTGACCTCTTCTTCTTTCCATCCCAGGAGTTGTGCATTTTGAAAGCTAGTGAAAGCTCTGACCCTTTTGATTCCGAACCTAACGGTGATCAGAAACTCTTCCTCTGTTTCATAAATGTCCAACTTCTCCAGCCTTTGTCTCCCTCCCCAGAAATCGGCACAGAGAAAGCCTGCTACCGGGACATGTCCTCCTTCCCCGAGACCAAGGCCGAGAAGTACGCCAATCGCAGCAAAGGGAAGAAGTTCCTGCAGTACAACCGCCGGCAGCTGAGCCGCATCTACCCCAAGGGCCAGCGCCTGGACTCCTCCAACTACGACCCGCTCTCCATGTGGATCTGCGGCAGCCAGTTGGTGGCCCTCAACTTCCAGACGCCGGGTAACACATTACTACTCTTTCCCCCCCCCCCCTCCAATTAGAATAATAAGAATAACTTTATTGTCATTGTACAAACCGCCTTAAGTCGCCCATTGGCTGAGAAAGGCGGTATACAAATACAGTAAATAAATAAATAAATGCATTGTACAACTAAATTAAATGCTTTCCCCAGCACACATCACAAAAAGGGACTAGGCTTAGCCTTGAAGTATTTGTTTGATTTATTTGTTGAACTTTCTAAGTCTTTAAAAGAACTTTGTGTGGGGAAATCCGAAAGGCCTCTCAGCCGAGGCACCCCCGGCATCCCGTTGGGCATTCAGAAAACATATCCTGTTTACAGACTCTTTCACAGGCCCAGCACGTGACAGCACAATGTGCTATGTCCAGGTTTGTTCAAATCTGGCTACCGGTATGAAAAAAACTCTAAAGTTATGTTGAGAGCTAATCACCTCTCAACAAAGGATTCCCCCAGGCACTGACAAGCTACACTGGAGTGTTTTTTTCTCTCTCCAGAGATGAGATTTCTCAACTTACCAAGAAATCTTTTCCTTTGCCAGGAAGTGAATAATAACCGGTGTTCTGTCTACTGTTTTCCCCCAGATAAGCCAATGCAGTTGAACCAGTCTCTTTTTATGCTGGGGGGCCGCAGCGGCTACGTGTTGCAGCCGGACATCATGCGGGATGACCTCTTTGACCCCTTTGACAAGAGCAGCTTGAAGCACGTGGAGCCCATCACGGTCCAGCTGCAGGTACATGAGGCCAAGAGGGTCAATGGGACCCACAACCATCTCCTCAAAGGAATATTTGGTGTCTTTATCAGAGCGCAGGTTAGCCAGTGCTGTATATGAGCTTATGGTAAAAGTGAGGAGGATACACAGGAAATTCTGGTAAGGTTTTCCTGTTATTGTTGCAGGTAATGCATCTCAAATATAACAGAGTAGATAGGCAAAAGAAAGTTGCCCTAACTTGGGTGGACTCTCACGTCTCTATATCCGGCATCTTGAGGCAGAAAGATTCCTCAGGCTGCTCTCTTTTCTAACAAAAAGCTAGTAAAAATAATTACTGTATATACTCGAGTATAAGCCTAGTTTTTAGTCCTTTTTTAGGCTGAAAGAGTTTCCCCCGGCTTATACTCGAGTCAAGGTTTTTTATTATTTTACTTTGTTGTTGTTATTATTACATTTATTATTTTATTATTGTTGTTATTACATCTATTATTTTATTTATTTATTTATTTATTTGGAGCATTTATTAACCGCCATTCTCAGCCCACTCGGGCGACTCATGGCGGTGTACAGTACAAAAGGCAATTCACACAAAGACAAGTACAACAGCATATTAACCATACAACAATACAACAGTTAAAATTACACTAACTAATCCGCTTCGTCTCGTAATAGAATCGTGACCAATCTCGTATTCCTTGTACCATTCCAGTCGTCTTTACCACATTACTATAGCACTTAATTAAATGCCCTCTCGAACAGCCACGTCTTGAGGCTTTTTCGGAAGGACAAAAGAGAGGGCGCCTGCCTGATGTCTGTAGGGAGAGTGTTCCACAACCGGGGGGCCACCACTGAGAAGGCCCTCTCTCTCGTCCCCGCCAGGCGTGCCTGTGAGGCAGGCGGGATCGAGAGAAGGGCCTCCCCAGACGATCTCAAGGTCCTCGTGGGCTCATAGGCCAAGATGCGGTCCGAAAGGTATTTTGGGCCGGAACCGTTTAGGGCTTTGTAGGCCAACACCAGCACCTTAAATTGGGCCCGGTAGCAAATCGGCAGCCAGTGGAGCTGGGACAACAAGGGCGTTGTGTGCTCCCTGTATCCCGCTCCAGTTAGTAACATGGCTGCCGCACGCTGAACCAGCTGAAGCTTCCGGGCCGTTTTCAAGGGCAGCCCCACGTAGAGAGCGTTGCAGTAGTCAAGCCGGGATGTGACCAGAGCGTGTACCACCGTGGCCAAGTCAGACTTCCCGAGATACGGGCGCAGCTGGCGCACGAGCCGAGCTGTGCAAATGCTCCCCTGGTCACCGCTGAAACCTGGGGATCCAGGCTCAACGATGAATTCAGGATCACACCCAAGCTGCGAACCTGCGCCTTCAAGGGGAGTGCGACCCCATCCAGCACAGGCTGTAACCCTATACCCGTTCGGCCTTGCGACTGACCAGGAGTACCTCTGTCTTGTCTGGATTTAGTTTCAGTTTGTTCGCCCTCATCCAGACCGTCACAGCGGCCAGGCACCGGTTCAGGACCTCGACAGCCTCCTTAGTAGCAGGTGGAAAGGAGTGACAGAGTTGGACATCATCTGCGTACAGATGACACCGCACCCCGAAACTCCGGATGATCTTACCCAGCGGCTTCATGTAGATATTAAACAGCATGGGGGACAGTATGGAACCCTGTGGAACCCCACAAGTCAAAGGTTGTGGGGCAGAACAGGAGTCCCCCAATAACACCTTCTGGGTGCGTCCCTCCAGGAATGAGTGGAGCCACTGCAGAGCAGTGCCCCCAAGGCCCATTTCCGCAAGGCGCCCCAGAAGGATACTGTGGTCGACAGTATCGAAGGCCGCTGAGAGGTCCAGGAGCACCAACAGGGACACACTCCCCCTGTCTAGCTCCCGGCGCAGATCATCCACTAAGGCGACCAAGACCGTCTCGGTACCATGTCCCAGTCTGAAACCAGACTGTGCCGGATCCAGAATATCCGTGTCTCTCAAGAATACCTGGAGTTGTGAGGCCACCACGCTTTCCATGACTTTGCCCAAAAAGGGGAGATTGGAAACAGGCCGAAAGTTGTCGAATTTAGTGGGGTCCAGTGATGGTTTCTTCAACAGCGGTTTTATAATTGCTTGTTTTAAGCACGCTGGAATCTTGCCTTCCCGAAGGGAGGCATTAACCACCACCGTTACCCACTCGGCCAATCCCCCTCTGGCCTCCTTCAGAAGCCAGGATGGGCAGGGGTCTAGGATGGACGTGGTGGGTCTCATTCCTCCAAGTATCTTGTCCACATCCTCGGGTTTCACAAACTGAAAAGAATCCAACAAAATCGGACAAGCAGGTGCTTGTGTCACATCCACAGAGACTGCATTTAATGTGGCGTCCAGCCCAGAGCGGATCAAAGCGACTTTGTCTGCAAAGAACCGAGCAAATGCTTCACAGCGCGTTGCCGAGTTGTCAGGGCTCCCGCCTGAGGTGGTGGGAGTTAAAAGACCTCTGACAATCCGAAACAACTCCGCCGGACGGTTCTTTGCAGACGCAATAGTGGCCGCAAAGAAAGTTTTCTTTGCGGCCTTTATTGCCGCGGCATATGCCCTAAGAAAGGACACAAACCGTGCTCGATTTGACTCGCTCGGATCAGAACGCCACACGCTCTCTAGTTCCCTCTTCCTTCGCTTCATCACTGCCAGCTCCTCAGTAAACCAAGGGGCTGGTTTAGCTCGGCTACTTGAGAGGGGACGCTCCGGAGCGATCATGTCAATTGCCCTGGCCATCTCCCCATTCCAGAGAGCGACCAAGGCCTCGACATGGTCACCTACCGAGGAGGCGGGAAAATCCCCAAGAGCCGTCAGGAATCCATTAGGATCCATAAGCCTCCTGGGGCGGACCATCTTAATGGGTCCTCCACCCTTGCGGAGGTTAGGGGGCGCAGTGAGCCTAAATCTGATCAGGAAGTGGTCGGTCCATGGCAACGGAGAGATGGACAACTCCTCCACACCGCCACCCTGTTCCCATCCCTGGCAGAAAACCAAGTCCAATGTATGTCCAGCACAGTGGGTGGGGCCAGATATTTGTTGGGACAGCCCCATGGTTGCCATGGCAGACATGAAGTCCTGAGCCGCTCCTGTGAGGGTCGCCTCGGCATGGATATTGAAGTCTCCCAGCACCAAGAAGCCGTTGAGACTCCAACGCCAGGCTCGAGACTACCCCCGCTAGCTCAGGTAGGGAGACTGTAGTGCAGCGAGGTGGACGGTACACTAACAGAATCCCTATTCTGTCCCGGTCACCCACCCTTAGGTGGACGCATTCAAAATTTGTGGTCTGCGGGATGGGGCTCCTGGTCAGATGGATGGAATCTCTATAGACCACTGCAACCCCGCCTCCCCGTCCTCCGGATCTCGGTTGGTGCTGTACGGAGAAGCCTGGAGGACAAAGCTGGGTCAGATTCACACCCCCAGCTTCATCCAGCCAGGTCTCCGTAATGCACGCCAGATCTGCCCGCTCATCCAGGCTTAAGTCCTGGATCCAGGTCGTTTTTCCGTTGACAGACCTGGCGTTCAGCAGCACCACCTTCAATCCAGAGGGCCCGCTCACCTGGTTACACCAATTTACCTTAGGAGACCGATTTGGGATTATTAATGTTGATAAGTGGTCCGAATTAGGCCGAATTCGAGGTCTCCTTTTTCCGCATCTCCTCCTCCCCACCACGACCTCTATGGGGGCCCCTCGGCTAGTGGAACACCTCCCCCCCTCCATGCCGCAGTCCCAAACCAAGGTCTCTGTTTCATTAGATGTTTGGTTTGTTGGTCCCTGCCAACTCCCTTGCTTCCCCTCCTCCCCCCTCCCCGCCCCATCCTTGTTCACAGGCTCCAGCCCTCCTCCTCCCCTGCCCCCTCCACTAGTCAGCAGTAACAGGGACAGAACAAATAGGGGGATGGGGAGCCACATGGATAACAATAGATTCAGGTGGGGCTAGGCGTTCAGCCACACCAGTTAAACAGTTCGTAAAGTACTCTATTATTGTTATTGTTACATTTATTATTTTACTCTATTATTATTATTACATTTATTATTTTACTCTATTGTTGTTATTATTATTATTTTAGTCCTTTTTTAGGTTGAAAAGTCCCCCCCGGCTTATACTTGAGTCAATGTTATATATTATTTTCCTTTGTTGTTGTTGTTGTTGTTATTACATTTATTATTTTATTATTACATTTATTATTCTACTCTATTGTTATTGTTACATTAATTATTTTACTCTATTGTTGTTATTATTATTATTTTAGTCCTTTTTTTAGGTTGAAAAAGTCCCCCCCGGCTTATACTCGAGTCAATGTTATATATTATTTTCCTTTGTTGTTGTTGTTGTTATTATTGTTATTGTTATTATTATTACATTTATTATTTTATTATTACATTTATTATTCTACTCTATTGTTATTGTTACATTATTTTACTGTATTGTTATTATTACATTTATTATTTTACTCTATTATTATTATTATTATTATTATTTTAGTCCTTTTTTTAGGTTGAAAAAGTCTCCCTGTCTTATACTCGAGTCAATGTTATTTATTATTTTCCTTTGTTGTTGTTGTTGTTATTATTATTATTATTATTACATTTATTATTTTACTCTATTATTATTATTATTATTATTATTATTTTAGTCCTTTTTTTAGGTTGAAAAAGTCTCCCCGTCTTATACTCGAGTCAGTGTTATTTATTATTTTCCTTTGTTGTTGTTGTTGTTATTATTATTATTATTACATTTATTATTTTACTCTATTATTATTATTATTATTATTATTATTATTATTATTATTATTTTAGTCCTTTTTTTAGGTTGAAAAAGTCTCCCCGTCTTATACTCGAGTCAATGTTATTTATTTTCCGTTGTTGTTGTTGTTGTTGTTGTTGTTGTTGTTGTTGTTGTTGTTGTTATTATTATTATTACATTTATTATTTTATCATTGTTGTTATTATTACATTTATTATTTTATTATTGTTGTTATTACATTTATTATTTTACTCTATTATTGTTATTGTTACATTTATTATTTTACTCTATTGTTATTATTACGTTTATTATTTTACTCTATTGTTATTACTATTATTATTATTTTAGTCCTTTTTTGGTTGAAAAAGTCTCCCCCAGCTTATACTTGAGTCAATGTTATTATTTTACTTTGTTGTTGTTATTATTACATTTATTATTTTATTATTGTTGTTATTACATTTGTTATTTTACTGTATTATTATTATTACCTTTATTATTTTACTCTATTTATTATTGTTATTGTTATATTTATTATTTTACTCTATTATTATTATTTTACTCTATTTATTATTATTGGAGGACATGTAAGCATATTTACATTGAAGAAGGTTAGAATAATGGTTTAATCAGAGTTGGACAGTCTTATCTTGAATTACAGTTTTATGTAAATATTCAAAAACATTTAACCTACTGATGCCTAAATTAATATAATTTTATTGGTATCTATTTATTTTGAAATTTACTAGTAGCTTCTGCATTTCCCACCCTCGACTTATTCTCGAGTCAATACGTTTTTCCAGTTTTTTGTGGTAAAATTAGCTTATATTCAGGTCGGCTTATACTTTAGTATATATGGTAATAATAAAATAAATAATTAGAAATAAGTAAAAAAACCCAAAAGGAACAGGAAAGACTTTTGAGAAGAAGGATGTGACCTATACATGCAGCTAGGAAGCTAAGCAACTTCAGTTACATGGCTGTAAGACACGGAAGTGAAAACGAGACATGACAGGTTTCCCTTTGCCCCCAATTTCTCTCTGTACAAGTGTCCTTGCTTCTTCAATTCCAATACTCCCGTCCTGTAGTTAGAAAGGGAATGGGTGCAGCTTCCTTGGCACATTCCCTCATCTAGCCAGCAGTGAGGATTGGGGACAATCAAGAACATATATGAGGGTTGAATGAAAAGTAATGCCTCCACCTGTGTAACTCCTCAACAGATGGCAGTACTGGTATGCCCCAGGTACTGGGTTTTTCAGTAGACTCTCTTCTACAATTCAATTTTGGCAGGAATTCTTAGCATTGAATGGTTGTGTTGTTAAAGTGCAAAGTTGTAAGACTGTAGGATCTATATAGCAATATTAAATAACCACTCACAAGCCGGTTCTGCTTTGAAATGGATATATTGCTTGTATCTCTGCAGCAAAGAAAGACACTACTGACTTTTTCCCACCACCACTTCCTTTTATACACCTTTCCTGCCCATCTTCCCCCTCTTCTCAGTTTCCTTATTAGAGCTTGTTGCTTCACAAGTTCCAATACAAGGTTTCCAGCGCCCTCTGCTGGCTTCAAAATGTCACAGAGAGATAATTGAGTCAGCCAGGATGATTCAGTCAGGATGTCACGGAGAGAATTTGTGATGTCTTCATGCCGTCAGAAATTGACTCCTGACAATTATTCTATGAGCTTTGCAAGTCGGTCAATGCGACTTAAGCAATGTGCAGTCATTGAATTCTTGACAGCAGAAGGTGTCACCGCAAAGGAGATTCATCAGAGAATGTAAGCTGTTTATGGTGATTGTGTTGATGTGAGTACTGTGCGTCGTTGGGCGAGTAAGTTTAAAGATGTTGAGGTGGGAACATCTGACTTGCGTGACAAACAAAGAGTTGGACATCCTGTGACAGCAACCACCGAGTTTCACAAGCAAAAGGTTGACAGATTGATTCAGGACAATCGTCGTATCACTCAGAGAGAAATTTCAAGCATAATCGGCATTTCACAAGAACGTGTGGGTCACATTATTGCTTTGCTTGGCTATTGGAAGATCTGTGCATGATGGGTACCCGCAATGAGAGAACTATGAGACGCTGGTTGCGGAAACAGAGTGTCGACTTGTTCCGTGACGGCTTCAGAAAACTTGTTCATCATTGGCCAATTGTCTGGTGATTATGTCGAAGGGATGGTCCTCCGCTATCAACTCTGCTGGACCGGCCATGTTGTCTGGATGCCCAACCACCGTCTCCCAAAGCAGTTGCTCTACTCTGAACTCAAGAATGGAAAATGGAATGTTGGTGGACAGGAAAAGAGATTTAAAGATGGGCTCAAAGCCAACCTTAAAAACTCTGGCATAAACACTGAGAACTGGGAAGCCCTGGCCCTTGAGCACTCCAGCTGGAGGTCAGCTGTGACCAGCAGTGCTGCAGAATTTGAAGAGGCATGAATGGAGGGCAAAAGAGAGAAATGTGCCAAGAGGAAGGCGCATCAAGCCAACCTTGACCAAGACCACCTTCCACCTGGAAACCAATGCTCTCATTGCGGGAGAAGATGCAGGTCAAGAATTGGGCTCCACAGTCACCTACGGACCACCAGAACACTGATCCTGGAAGACTATCCTACTTGGCCAACGAGGGATCGCCTAAGTAAGCAAGTAATGTCGAAAAGTGAATAGTGGTAGTTCAAAAGCACATTCTAAGGATTATTTCTGCATTTGGTTTATTAAAATATTCCCATCCACACCCAAGTAATGAAGGTGGAGGCATTACTTTTCATTCAACCCTCGTAGTGAGGCTCTAAAGTAGCAGTGGCAGATATCCAGAAAAGTTGACCCCATGCTTCTTAAGGATAATTTTGGTCATGGAAGCGCTTCCAGGGTGTATTTGGCCTGTGGATGGCACTTTCCTACCTCACTCTAACCTGTTCCGGCCTTTCTCTCTGCAGATCCTGGGGGCCCGGCACCTCCCCAAGAACGGTCGCAGCATCGTCTGTCCCTTTGTGGAAGTGGAGGTCTGCGGCTCAGAGTTCGACAACAGCAAGAACAAGACAGAGGTCGTAGGTGAGGGGGCGGCTCTCCCGACTGGTGTTTCCCCTCCAAGACAGTCCCCTCAAACCCCCCCCCCCCCGCCCCAAGTAGGTTGAGTTAGTCCTGGGGGTTGTGTGTGCCAAGTTTGGCCCAGGTCCATCATCAGTGGTGAATCACAGTGTCTCTGGATGTAGATAAACTACAACTCCCACTATGGAGAGTCAGTCCCCTCAAACCCCTCCAGTAGGTTGAGTTAGTCCAGGGGGTTCTGTGTGTCATGTTTGGCCCAGGTCCATCATCAGTGGTGAATCACAGTGTCTCTGGATGTAGATAAACTACAACTCCCACTATGGTGAGTCAGTCCCCTCAAACCCCTCCAGTAGGTTGAGTTAGTCCAGGGGGTTCTGTGTGTCATGTTTGGCCCAGGTCCATCATCCGTGGTGGTCACAGTGTCTCTGAATGTAGGTAAACTACAACTCCCACTATGGTGAGTCAGTCCCCTCAAACCCCTCCAAGTAGGTTGAGTTAGTCCTGGAGGTTCTGTGTGCCAAGTTTGGTCCAGGTCCATCAGTGGGGGTCATAGTGTCTCTGGATGTAGGTAAACTACAACTCCCACCATGGTGAGTCAGTCCCCTCAAACCCCTCCAAGTAAGTTGAGTTAGTCATGGGGGTTCTGTGTGTCAAGTTTGGCCCAGGTCCATCATCAGTGGTGAATCACAGTGTCTCTGGATGTAGATAAACTACAACTCCCACTATGGTGAGTCAGTCCCCTCAAACCCCTCCAGTAGGTTGAGTTAGTCCAGGGGGTTCTGTGTGTCATGTTTGGCCCAGGTCCATCATCAGTGGTGAATCACAGTGTCTCTGGATGTAGATAAACTACAACTCCCACTATGGTGAGTCAGTCCCCTCAAACCCCTCCAGTAGGTTGAGTTAGTCCAGGGGGTTCTGTGTGTCATGTTTGGCCCAGGTCCATCATCCGTGGTGGTCACAGTGTCTCTGAATGTAGGTAAACTACAATTCCCACTATGGTGAGTCAGTCCCCTCAAACCCCTCCAAGTAGGTTGAGTTAGTCCTGGAGGTTCTGTGTGCCAAGTTTGGTCCAGGTCCATCAGTGGGGGTCATAGTGTCTCTGGATGTAGGTAAACTACAACTCCCACCATGGTGAGTCAGTCCCCTCAAACCCCTCCAAGTAAGTTGAGTTAGTCATGGGGGTTCTGTGTGTCAAGTTTGGCCCAGGTCCATCATCAGTGGTGGTCACAGTGTCTCTGGATGTAGGTAAACTACAACTCCCACCATGGTGAGTCAGTCCCCTCAAACCCCTCTAGTAGGTTGAGCTAGTCCAGAGGGTTCTGTGTGTCATGTTTGGCCTAGGTCCATCACCCGTGGTGGTCACAGTGTCTCTGAATGTAGGTAAACTACAATTCCCACTATGGTGAGTCAGGCCCCTCAAACCCCTCCAAGTAGGTTGAGTTAGTCCTGGAGGTTCTGTGTGCCAAGTTTGGTCCAGGTCCATCAGTGGGGGTCACAGTGTCTCTGGATGTAGGTAAACTACAACTCCCACCATGGTGAGTCAGTCCCCTCAAACCCCTCCAAGTAAGTTGAGTTAGTCATGGGGGTTCTGTGTGTCAAGTTTGACCCAGGTCCATCATCAGTGGTGGTCACAGTGTCTCTGGATGTAGGTAAACTACAACTCCCACCATGGTGAGTCAGTCCCCTCAAACCCCTCCAGTAGCTTCAGTTAGTCCTTGGGGTTTGGAACCCATTGTGTTCCTGACCATACAGGTGATGCATTCTTTAGCAAAAGGAGGTATAAATCCAGAGGTGGAAGGAAGGGGGAGAAGCACGCAGGCCCTACTCTTCCTGCTGCTGTTGGTCAGAATCCTCTTGAAAGAGTTAAGAATGCATGACCTAGACCTAGAGTTCATAATCACATATGGCATAATTCAGGGGAATGTGGTGGGATAAACAATCATTTAAGCATTAAGATAAAGAATTATATCATTATAGTATAAACATTAAAATTACACAGTCCAAAATTGTAATCTGAAGCTATTCCAATTGTCAATTGCACATATTCCCTATTCATTTCTTGCACTTGAAACAAATGCAATGTTTGCTTGGGTTCTGTGACTCAAGTTCCTCGTTACACTCTAATATTGATTTCCCGTCTCCCTTCCCAGCTGACAACGGCCTCAATCCAGTCTGGCTCGTCAAGCAGTTTGTCTTCGACATCAACAACCCGGAGTTTGCCTTCCTCCGTTTCGTCGTCTACGAGGAAGACATGTTCAGCGACCCCAACTTCTTGGCTCAGGCGACATTCCCCATCAAGGGCCTTAAAACAGGTACCCTTTCCCCTGTTGGGGTTCAGCCTGTGTGTGAACCTGAACCTGATTCTCTGATTGTATTTCCTGATGCCAGTGAAGATGTTGATTCTGAGGTCAACGTAGAAGATGATGGTTTGTGTACTTTCACTCCTTTTTCCTTCCAGTCTTAGCTCTCCAGAGAATCTGACACCTGGGCTCTCTAATGAGGATAGGAGAGGGCAGATTTGGCAGAGCAGGGGAGAATCTCAAAGTTTACGAAGGTCAGCTAGACTGAGAGAAATGCAAACAAAGCCGGCAGGCGTGTCACGTAATAGATTTCTCGGCCTTAAGTACCTCTCGTCTGGATGCATCTTCAGACCAGGCATCGTTCCAGATTCATGCATCACCTTTGGCAGGTCTCCTGATTCCAGTGGACTTATTCCTAAGAGTCTTTCTAGTTGCTTCAAGTACGGTTAGTGGATTGCTAACAGGTTCCAGGATTTAGCAGTGTTACTGTGGGTTTTATAATCTTGTTCATGAACATTTCTTGTTGCTGATTTTTACTATGGCTTTTTACCTTGCATATTTCCTCTATTTTTGTACTCATTTTTCATCAATATAAAAGGATTGTTTTTCCTGAAGTCAAGTGTGGTGGATTGTTGTCTTAGGGTCCAGTTTCCTGCTCTGGGTTGCAACATCCTCTTTCATTCACTGACTCACTGCTACACATTTTTGCCACCTTGCTCAGGATCTGGCCAAGCTGGTTTGTTCCCCACTTTAGTTTCTTTGGGCAAGGCGGCTAATGATAGGATACCAAGATTGGTAACTTTGTACAACCACTCTACATCCAGAGCCCTGTTTAACTGATGCAATCAAATAATAAAATATTTGGATAGTCTGTTTGGCTATTCAACTTCCATGACTTTGAGGACTGTGGGTTCTGGATTGTTCTCTCAACTGTGTTCTTTTCCTTTAGGTTACAGATCCGTACCCCTGAAGAACAGCTATAGTGAGGATCTTGAGCTTGCTTCTCTTCTTCTCCATATTGAAATAGTCAATGCCAAGGTAGTAATAATAATAATAATAATAATAATAATAATAATAATAATAGTATCTGGGTTGATGTAGGTTTTTTCGGGCTATATGGCCATGGTCTAGAGGCATTTTCTCCTGACGTTTCGCCTCAACCAGAGAAGTCAACCAGACGTTCAACCAGAGAAGTCAGCCATAGCAGAGCACCTGATGAACCAACCTGGACACAGTATATTATTTGAGAACACAGAAATGCTGGACCACTCTCACAACCACCATGTCAGGCTACACAGAGAAGCCATTGAAATCCACAAGCATGTGGACAATTTCAACAGAAAGGAAGAAACCATGAAAATGAACAAAATCTGGCTACCAGTATTAAAAAACTCAAAAGTTACAACAGAGAGTAAACAACCAGGCACATCAAATCACCTCTCAATAAAAAAAGATTCCACCAGGCACTTCCAAGCCATTAAATGCTAATCAATGTGGTCAGTTGAAACATTCCCACCTAGCTCCAGCAGACAAGAGTCCTTTGTCCCACCCTGGTCATTCCACAGATATATAAACCCTTTTTTCTAGTTCCAACAGACCTCACTACCTCTGAGGATGCTTGCCTTAGATGCAGGCGAAACGTCAGGAGAAAATGCCTCTAGAACATGGCCATATAGCCCGAAAAAACCTACAACAACCCAGTGATTCTGGCCATGAAAGCCTTCGATAATACAATAATAATATCCCGCCACCATCTCCCCAAAAGGACTTGGAGCAGCTTACAGACAGCACAAAGTGCCTAAAAACATACATAAAAGTAAACACAGTATAAAATACAATAAAAAAAATAAAACACATACACATTTGAAAATATCAATTCAGACTCAATCAAGCTGTGATCCTCTAACTGTGGCGGTAAATTACTGACACTATGGCCGGGATGTAAACATTGGGATAAAATAAGTGCCAGCTGCAGCAATTGAGAGACGGTATGGGATAAAGTGCAAGATGTGCGACTACTACAAAGGACAACTAGGGCAGTGTTTCTCAACCTGGGGGTCGGGACCCCCGAGGGGGTCGCGAGAGGGTTTCAGGGGGTCACCAAAGACCATCAGATAACACTTATTTCTGATGGTCTTAGGAAACTAGTCCAATGTGGGCTAGGCAAAATAACAGTGAGGTGGATCTGTAATTGGTTAAATGGACGAACCCAGAGGGTGCTCACCAATGCTTCCTCTTCATCCTGGAAAGAAGTGACGAGCAGAGTGCTCGCAGGGTTCCGTCCTGGGCCTGGTCCTGTTCAACATCTTTATTAATGACTTAGATGAAGGGCTAGAAGGCAGGATCATCAAGTTTGCAGACGACACCAAATTGGGAGGATAGCCAATACTCCAGAGGACAGGAGCAGGATTCAAAACGATCTTGACAGATTAGAGCAGTGTTTCTCAACCTGGGGGTCGGGACCCCTGCGGGGGTCGCGAAGGGGTGTCAGAGGGGTCGCCAAAGACCATCAGAAAACACAGTATTTTCTGGTGGTCATGGGGATTCCATATGGGAAGTTTGAGCCAATTCTATCGTTGGTGGAGTTCAGAATGTTCTTTGATTGTAATGAACTATAAATCCCAGCAGCTACAACTCCCAAAAGTCAAGGTCTATTTTCCCCAAGCTCCACCAGTGTTCACATTTGTTCACATATGGGAAGTTTGAGCCAATTCTATCATTGGTGGAGTTCAGAATGTTCTTTGATTGTAATGAACTATAAATCCCAGCAACTACAACTCCCAAAAGTCAAGGTCTATTTTCCCCAGGCTCCACCAGTGTTCACATTTGCGCATATTGAGTATTTGTGCCAAGTTTGGTCCAGATCCACAGTGCTCTCTGGATATAGGTGAACTACAACTCCCAAACTCAAGGTCAATACCCACCAAACCCTTCCAGTGTTTTCCGTTGGTCATGGGAGGTCTGTGTGGCAAATTAGGTTCAAATCCATCGCTGGTGGAGTTCAGAATACTCTTTGATTATAGGTGAACTATAAATCCCAGCAACTACAACTCCCAAATTACAAAATCAATCCTCCCCTAACCCCACTAGCATTTACATGTGGTTGCATTGGGTATTTGTGCCCAGTTTGGTCCAGTGAATGAAAATACATCTTGCATATCTGATATTTACATTATGATTTATAACAGTAGTAAAATGACTGTTATGAAGTAGCAATGAAAACAATATTATGGTTGGGGGTCACCACAACATGAGGGACTGTATTAAGGGGTCACGGCATTAGGAATCTTGACAGATTAGAGAGATGGGCCAAAACTAACAAAATGAAGTTCAACAGTGACAAATTCAAGATACTCCACTTTGGCAGGAAAAACGAAATGCAAAGATACAAAATGGGGGACGCCTGGCTCGAGAGCAGTACGTGTGAAAAAGATCTTGGAGTCCTCGTGGACAACAAGTTAAACATGAGCCAACAATGTGATGTGGCGGCAAAAAAAGCCAATGGGATTTGGGCCTGCATCAATAGGAGCATAGTGTCTAGATCTAGGGAAGTCATGCTACCCATGCTCTATTCCGCTTTGGTTAGACCACACCTGGAATATTGTGTCCAATTCTGGGCACCACAATTCAAGAGAGATATTGACAAGCTGGAATGTGTCCAGGGGAGGGCGACTCAAATGATCAAGGGTCTGGAGAACAAGCCCTATGAGGAGCGGCTTAAGGAGCTGGGCATGTTTAGCCTGAAGAAGAGAAGGCTGAGAGGAGATATGATAGCCATGTATAAATATGTGAGAGGAAGCCACAGGGAGGGGAGCAAGCTTGTTTTCTGCTTCCCTAGAGACTAAGACACGGAACAATGGCTTCAAACTACAAGAAAGGAGATTCCATCTGAACATGAGGAAGAACTTCCTGACTGTGAGAGCCGTTCAGCAGTGGAACTCTCTGCCCCGGAGTGTGGTGGAGGCTCCTTCTTTGGAAGCTTTTAAACAGAGGCTGGATGGCCATCTGTCAGGGGTGATTTGAATGCAACATTCCTGCTTCTTGGCAGAATGGGGTTGGACTGGATGGCCCAGGAGGTCTCTTCCAACTCTTTGATTCTATGATTCTATGATTCTATGAACCCTTTTGGCAGAGAAGGCAGAATATTTCTCTGCCTGTCCTTCTCTTTCTTTTTTGGTGTTGGTGAACTTCAACTCCCAGAATTCAAAAACAACCCCTCCCCGACCCCACTAGGAATCAATGTTGGCCATGTAGGTAGCATGTCGAGTTTAGTACAGATCTCTTATGGGCTGGATTCAGAATGTTCTTTGATTGTAGATTAACTATAAATCCCGGCAACTTCAACTCCCAAATGTCAAGGTCTATTTTTCCCAAACTTTGGGCATATTGAGTATTCATGCCAAGTTTGGTCCAGATCCATTAATGTTTGAGTCCACAGTACTCTCTGGAGGTAGGTGAACTACAACTCTAAAACTGAAATCAATGCCCACCAAACTCTTCCAATATTTTCTCTTGATCATAGGAGTTTTGTCAGGTTTTACAATGTATTATAATGTAATATAACTGAGTCATGCACTGCTAATGGGCTATAGTCCCTCATGTCAAGGGACTATAGCAGGCATGGGCAAACTTCGGCACTCCAGGTGTTTTGGGCTTCAACTCCCACAATTCCTAGCCAGTATAGCGTTGAGAACCTACCACATTTATTTCCTCTTACCTGCTGCAGGAAGAAGACGACGAGAACTTGTACTCCTCCATTCAGCAACTCCGGGACCGCGCCAACGAGCTCTCCAACCAGGTGTCCAGCTTCGAACAAAGCAACAATTGTGACTCGCGTTACCAGCAGCGGCTGGATGAGCTCAGGGCGGCGCAAGAGCGGCTCATGGAACTGACTGAAGTGCGCAACAGGAAGTGAGTTGACACCACTTGGACGCTGAGAAAAATCTTGCTTTCTTGTGAAGGGCCTCCACTCTTTGTGGCGTAATGTAAAACAAACCACATGTAGTTCATGTTTGATCAGCCCACACACTGCCTTGCCAGAGAAAGAAAATGTGCCACAATAACAAGTAGTTCAGAACAACATATGTATAATGTGATCAGTTGTATAACTGTTGAGATTAATTTCACAATTCAGCAGCAGATTAGTTGCACAACTTCAGCGCTTTTCAGTAGCTTCTTCCTGCACAGTATTTTCAGTCAGCTGCTCCCACAAACTGCAGTCACTCTGGAACTCTTTTTCAGACACTTGAGCACATGCCCAGCCATTGTCAGTTTTACTATTGTTTTCCCCTCCAATCTAGATGACACTGCAAACTTACCACAGCACACGGTTATATCTTGTCTTAGCAGACAGGTTCCTTTGATATATTACACAGAGCCTTCGGCAAACAGCATCACAGCACAAGGAGAGAAATATACACTCTACATGACTTCCTTATATACAATGCTGTACATTTACACATAGCAATCTCTGATTGGTTCCCAACTCATTGAAGAGTTGTGATTTTTTTGCCGATATTTGTATACCTAAGTATTTGATTTTGATACTATTTGCATTCCTGTGGAATCTCTAAGTTTTTCTTGGTTTTCTTTTGTTATGTTCTTTGTCAGTATTTTTGTCTTTTCTTTGTTCATCTTAAGGCCCGCTAAATTCCTGTATTCTTCTATTTTCGTTATCCAGTTCTGGATATTTTCTCTTGGGTCTTCTATGACACAAATCAGATCGTCAGCAAAAGCTCTAAATCTGTGTGCTCGCTTGCCTACATTTAGTGGTGGTAATTTTTTGTCTTCCCTTAGGTTCCTCAACGGTATCTCTAGTGTCATTATAAATATAAGCGGGGAGAGCGGACAACCCTGTATTGTTCCTTTTCTTATTGTGATTTGGTTTGAGGGACAGCCATTTATCCAGAGAGTGGCTTTTTGTTTACTATAAATTGCCTCCATCATGTTAATAAAACCAAAACCAAAGTCCATTTCTATCAGGATTGATTGAAAGAGTTCCCATCTTAGGTTGTCAAATGCCTTTTCGGCGTCTAACGCGATAAAGGCCACTTCTGTTTGATGGTGTTGTTCGTAGAATTCTATTAAATCTATGATGTTCCTCGTATTCTCTTTCATGTGTCTTCCGGGGAGAAAGCCCGTTTGTTCTTCTCCTATCCAATTGACCAAGAAAGACTTCAGTCTTTCACTTAGTATGCCTGTAAAAATTTTGTAATCTTGGTTGAGTAAGGATATAGGCCTGTAGTTCTTCACCTCCGTTGCGTCTGTATTTTCTTTATGTATCACTGTAATGTTCTCTGTTTTCCAAGATTCCAGGATTGTTTTTTCCGTCATAGCCTTGTTCATTAATTTCTTCAGATATGGAGTAATTTCCCAACTCATTGACTTCACTCAAACCCAGGATTGCATCATTAACACTCATTTGGACCAGGCCAGAACACATTCCCCAAATGAAGTTCCCTATATACTGTTAATGCATGACTCCGCATTTCCAATAGAAGCCTATTAGCAGTGCATGACTCAGCTATATTACATTACAATACATTGTAAAACCTGACAATAACTCACATAATGTCCTTTTATGAGATTTAAAATGGTATTTCTTTGTCCATGTAGATAAACACCTTCAGCAACTTCTGAAGTGAGGGCACACTCCAAACTCTCTCTCTCTCTCCTTCTCTCTCTGCTGCTCCAAACATCTGCATAACTCAAACGTGAACAAAAATGTAACAGTATCCAAAAGTCCCAGGCTCAGCCTGCTCCCTGGGCATAGCCCAACCAATCAGCTTCATGCATCTTATTTTACAGTTGACACACACAGATTTTTTACATGCTCCAACACTCCAGATGTTTTGGACTACAACTCCCACAATTCCTAACAGCCTATCTCTTCTCCCTTCCCTGCAGGTTGATGGAGAAGAAGAAGCGAGACCGGCAGTTGGCCAACAAGCGCAACTGAGTCACCGGCTCACGTCTCCGTCGTCCTACAGCCTCCCCTCTTTCCCCCAACGAATCCCAAGGAGGCCTTTGGACACCAGACGGTGCCTGGACTCTTCTGTGCTCTCCGCCTCCTAGCCAGTGGCCGGTTGGTCAGTCTGTCTGGAAGTGGGGGCCGAGGGCACAATGGCAGAGGAAGCCGCAGGGAGAGCATTACTCGGACGTGGAGAGAAGCCGGACTGGCCGCTTTCCCAGTGTGCCATTTCCCTCAGGACCCATTACAGACTTGTGACGTGGTGGAGCGTTCTCTTTCTCCTGTTGCCAAGCATGGGCAAACTTCGGCCCTCCGGGTGTTTTGGACTTCAACTCCCACAATTCCTAACAGCCGGTAGGCTGTTAGGAATTGTGGGAGTTGAAGTCCAAAACACCCGGAGGGCCGAAGTTTGCCTATGCCATCTCTTATCGATAATGTAAACCACATCTTGCCTTTTCTTTCGCTAACACTCTAATTTCACATCCCCAAAATATCTTCTCTTCCCCTCCCATACAAACCTATGAGAGGTCAATGGGGGGAAAGGTCAAAGACGAGGAAAAACAGGAAGCCCAGTTGGAAGGAGAGCCATTGAGTATCCTGGCCAGATCAAGAGGTCACGAGAGACAGTGTTTAGTATGAAAGGGGATCCCAAAAGCAGCAGAAAGGATCAGAAATCGAAGCAAAGGAAGGCAGAAACAACAGCCCCCCTTTTTGTCCCTGGGTCACCACATCCGTCCACCGTACGAGGTTTGTTTTGGTTTCCGTCGCTGCCTTCTTTCCACCATGAAGCACAATTTCCAGAGTGGCAACGCTGCTGCCATTGTGTGCCACTGTATATATGCATTAATAGCCGGCCCCGTTTCTGTATTCGCAAATACGAGTGCACAAGATGGCATCCGTGGTGTGTAATTTTGTATTATTTATAGGGAACAATAAGGGAAATCTTCCCCCCACCGTTTCATAATATTCCAAGTAAACACGCCATCCAAGGTTTCCTCTTTGGTGTTGGGAAAAGGCTTCTGGTTGTTGTAGGTTTTTTCGGGCTATATGGCCATGTTCTAGAGGCATTTTCTCCTGATGTTTCACCTACATCTATGGCAAGCATCCTCAGAGGTAGTGAGGTCTGTTGGAACTAGGAAAAAGGGTTTATATATCTGTGGAATAACCAGGGTGAGACAAAGAACTCTTGTCTGCTGGAGCTAGGTGTGAATGTTTCAACTGACCACCTTGATTAGCACCTGATGACCCAACGTGGACACAGCATATTATTTGAGAACACAGAAATGCTGGTCCACTCTAACAATCACCACGTCAGGTTACTCTTGTCTGCTGGAGCTAGGTGTGAATGTTTCAACTGACCACCTTGATTAGCATTTGATTGCCTGGCAGTGCCTGGAGCAATCTTTTGTTGAGAGGTGATTAGATGTCCTTGTATTGTCGAAGACTTTCATGGCCTTGAAATGACCAAGGTGAGACACAGGACTTTTGTCTGCTGAAGCTAGGTGTGAATGTTTCAACTGACCACCTTGATTAGCATTTGATTGCCTAGCAGTGCCTGGAGCAATCTGTTGTTGAGAGGGGATTAGATGTCCTTGTTTGTTTCCTCTCTGTTGTTGTGCTGTTCTAATTTTAGAGTTTTTTAATACTGGTCGCCAGATTTTGTTCATTTTCATGGTTTCCTCCTATGAGGGTTATCCAGAAAGTAAGGTTAAAAAGCATATAGTTCTTGATGGGAATTTTTTCGAGGGAAGTTGGTGTCATTGCCGTATAATGGGAAGACGGCAGAAGCGAACGAGCAGTGTCAGTCGTCAGTAGCTCATCGACTGGCGTTGTGAAGGTTAGAGATGAGCATCCTCAGTCCATTTCCGCCCCAAGTGCAAAGTTTACGCTGTACGAGGGATATCCGGAAATTAAGGTTACATAGCTCTCGCAGAGAATTTTCACAGCGGAAGTCGATATCACTGCTGTGTAGTGGGGAGCCAGCGGAAGTGAACAAGCAGTGCCAGTTGTCAGTAGCTCATCGGCTCATCGTCAGTAGCTCATCGGCTGGCGTTGTGGTGAAGGTTAGAGATGAGCATCCTCAGTCTGTTTCCCTCCAAGTGCGAAATTTACGCTGTACGAGGGATATCCAGAAATTAGGTTTACCTAGCTCATTGATTGACATCATGGTGAAGGTTAAAGATGAGCGTCCTCAGTCGGTTCCTTCCAAGTTCAAAGTTTACGCTGTATGAGGGATATCCAGAAAGTAAGGTTATAAGGCAAGTAGCTCTTGCAGGGAATTTTCACAGGGGAAGTTGGTATCATTGCCATGTAGCAGGAAGCCAGCAGAAGCAAACGAGCAGTGCCAGTCATCAATAGTTCATCAACTGGCATTGTGGTCCTCAGTCCGTTTCCCTCCAAGTTCAAAGTTTACACTGTATGAGGGATATCCAGAAAGTAAGGTAACAAGGCACGTAACTCTCACGGGGAATTTTCTCGGGGGAAGTTGGTATCATTGCCATGTAGCAGGAAGCCAGCAGAAGCGAACGAGCAGTGCCAGTCGTCAGTAGTTCATCAACTGGCGTGGTCCTCAGTCCGTTTCCCTCCAAGTTCAAGTTACACTGTATGAGGGATATCCAGAAAGTAAGGTTACAAGGCACGTAACTCTCACGGGGAATTTTCTCAGGGGAAGTTGGTATCATTGCCATGTAGCAGGAAGCCAGCAGAAGCGAACGAGCAGTGCCAGTCATCAGTAGCTCATCAACTGGCGTTGTGGCGAAAGTTAGAGATGGGTGTCCTCAGCTGGTTTCCCTCCAAGTGCTAAGTTTACGGTGTATGAGGGATATCAGGAAAGTAAGGTTACAAGGCACGTAACTCTCACGGGGAATTTTCTTGGGGGAAGTTGGTATCATTGCCATGTACATGGCCATACAGCCTGGAAGACTCACAGCAACCTAGTAACTCCAATACCCCACCAAATGCCTTGTCACTGCAGAGCTCAGGACGAAAGGATAATAGCATGAGACAGAACTGTATTCAGATGCTACTACAGATTAAACAAAGATTAGTCCATGAGCTTCAAGGCAAAACAAGGCCCATAGGTATATAAATCCAGGAAACGGGCACCCGAATCCATGAAACAAGGCAGCATGAAAAATCCAATACATAAATCAGGAGCTTGGCAAAACTTGGTACTTGATACTAAGAACAGTTGAGAGCAGGGCTAGACATGAAATTCCAACGTTGGCCCAACTGAGGCAACTTTTTCCCATGATTCAATATAAGGTTTTTCCAGATCCCAAAAACCAAAAGGAAAACACTTTGCTTGACCTTCCCACCAGATAAAGGTTTTTAAAAATCTCTTTTCCTGTAAACGAACTGATTTTCTTCGTGCCTGCGCACTCTGTCACTGTTTACAAAAGCCCCACTTTCAAGCTACACTCTCATTATCGTGACTCTCATTAACTTCTGCACTTGACAAATCATCTCCAGACAGTTGCTCTGAGAAAGACAGTTAAGGGCCCCTCTCAGGAATGTGACTTTGTGAATCTTCCTGAGACAGCTCGGCCTCTCGTCTAAGCTTAACTTGGGCCCAGGCAAACTCTCATCTCCACTATCAACAGACCCAGGCCCACCATCAGGAACATCATCCCCATTCCCAGCATGAACATCAGACACAATCACAGGCTGACATGCAACAGTCTCTGGCATTGAGTTTAGAGCAGTGTTTCTCAACCTTCCAACCCCTTAATACAGTTCTTCATGTTGTGGTGACCCCCAACCATAACATTATCTTTGATGCTACTTCATAACTGTCATTTTGCTACTGTTATAAATGTAAATATCTGATATGCAGGATGTATTTTCATTCACTGGACCAAATTTGGAGGGACATTGATTTTGTCATTTGGGAGTTGTAGTTGTTGGGATTTATAGTTCGCCTACAATCAAAGAGCATTCTGAACTCCACCAAGGATGGAATTGAACCAATCTTGGCACACAGAACTCCCATGACCAACAGGAAATGCTGGGTCTTGGCGGCATTGACCTTGAGTTTGGGAGATATAGTTCACCTACATCCAGAGAGCACTGTGGACTAAAACAGTGATTGATGCGGACCAAACTTGGCACATATACTCAATATGCCTAGATGGGAACACTGGTAGAGTTTGGAGAAAATAGACCTTGACATTTGGGAGTTGCAGTTGCTGGGATTTATAGTTCACCTACAATCAAAGGGCATTCTGAACCCCACCAATGATAGAATTGGGCAAAAATTCCCACAGAACCCCAATGAACAACCAAAAATACTGTTGGACACTGTGTTTTCTGATGGTCTTTGGTGACTTCTTTGACGTCCCCTCGCAACCCCCCCCCCCCCCAGCGGTCCCGACCCCCAAGTTGAGCAACACTGGCTTAGAGAGAACCTGCAAGGAAATCCAAAGCTGTTACAGATCAGTTACAGGAAAGCTGCCATGGATGTTTTCATCTCAGGAGAACTTGGTCCTTAGCCTGGGAGTTTCGTGACCAGTCATCGCCTTTACCTCTTGGAAGTGTAGATGCTTTTCATACATCAGCCATTTGGTAGAGACCACCATCCTTCCTTATTGCCAAACCTTCTTTTGAGAAAAGATGGTAAGTTCCAACCAGCTACCGGTCGCACAGACATTTGTAGAGTTGGAAGCCTACCCAAGTCTTGTTGCCTCGAAGCTGGAGATACAAGAGTAAGGAAAGGATCCTTTCTACATTCAGGAACCACTTTTGAAGTGATTTCATAGAATCAAAGAGTTGGAAGAGACCTCATGGGCCATCCAGTCCTTACTTACTTACTTAGGCAATCCCTCGTTGGATGAGTAAGATGGTCTTCCATTATGGATTTCCTTGTGGGTCCGTATGTGGCTGTGGAGCCCTATTCTTGCTCTGCATCTTCTTCCGCAGTGAGGGCATTGGTTTCCAGGTGGAAGGCGGTCCCGGTCGGGGTTGGCTTGACGCGCTTTCCTCCTGGCACGTTTCTCTCTTTCACCCTCCACTCGTGCCTCCTCAAATTCTGCAGCACTGCTGGTCACAGCTGTCCTCCAGCTGGAGCGCTCAAGGGCCAGCGCTTCCCAGTTCTCAGTGTCTATGCCAGAGTTTTTAAGGTTGGTTTTGAGCCCATCTTTAAATCTCTTTTCCTGTCCACCAACGTTCCGTTTTCCGTTCTTAAGTTCAGAGTAGAGCAACTGCTTTGGGAGACGGTGGTCAGGCATCCGGACAACGTGGCCGGCCCAGCGGAGTTGATGTTGGAGGACCATCGCTTCAATGCTGGTGGTCTTTGCTTCTTCCAGCACACTGACGTTTGTCCGCTTGTCTTCCCAGGAGATTTGCAGGATTTTCCGGAGGCAGCGCTGAT